TGGGATTAAAAGTGTTCCACCTTTTTGATGTACCGTAATACATTATGGGACATTTTTAGTCGTACCTCGAAATATTGCAATAGCTGCATGTGCCTAGGTTTATATTTCGTCTTATTTACGTAAAGTAGTTGGCAATATTTTCCACAAATGTTATAAATGTATTCGCTCGTGTTGGCAACATTCAATATGTCAGTACAGCTTTTTCAATTGTTGCAAGCGAAAGGTTTATCGCGACAATCTCTTTTTCCTGGTTTTATGCTTCCACATTATGCGATTCCTTTATTAGTAAAACTATGCCAATTTTGTTTCATTTAAAACGTAATAAAATTTCTGCGCGACATGAGTATATTTTGTTATCTGAAATCCCGTGCCGCAGAGAGATAATCACTTGCGGTGGCAAGAAATTCACAGACGCGTGTGCCAGAACGATGCAGTGTTTCTGTAACAATTGTCTAACGACGTGTACACCACGTCGTTGGCGATTTTGTGACAAAAGGATTACGACGTGCGTGACACGTCCTTCTAGCGCAAGTGGTTAAGTAGGAATCCATATATTGGCGAGGGTGAGAATGATGCCGCTACAAGTCTAACACTCTCTCTCTTTCCATATGCAACCTCTCTTTGTTGATCACTCATTTCACCTTTAGTGAGCCAGGTACTTCAGACACTCGGAAGTATTCCTAGACTTTTGTTCATCGCTTGCACTCGACTCGGTCATACTCGGTCTCATCCATAGGATTCTTTTACATACAATCCTCACCTCACGCACTTCAGATATCATCCCGATATACTGTTCTTCATACTGTTTCCTCTGCTAGAATCCTTCCCAGCTCGCAGTACCACGGTATCTTCGTAGAATTCGAAGTGCCGAGCATTCTCGATGCACCGATCTCGCGAGTCTACCTCATTGACAGTCCATGTAATTAAAAACGCGAGGAATCTTCCAACGTCTCTCGATTTCGCGGGAACTCGCTCTACCGTTAATTTCGAGGCGAACGAGGGCAGCTGGTAGGTGCAAAGCAGCCAGCTAATTCATTCGTCGCGATGAAATTAAAAAGAAAGGGAGCAAACACGGTGGCGTTAAGCGGGAGCCGACGCAGAGGAAAGTCGGCGGTTTCCCGGGAAAAGGGCACGGCGCCACCGTCTGATCGAGCACCCGTCACTGGCAGACGTCTAACCGACGTTTTCCAATTCGCACGGCCATTCACCGGCCTCCGATCGACAAAAGCGCTGGCTCTTTTGCAAATTGCAAATTGCGAAGCTGTGCGAGCCCTCGCCTTTCGCTCTCCGCTCGCTCTCCGCTGGAAAAACGCATCGTTCGACCCGTGACCGACCGCCGGCATACTTTTCCTTCAATTTCCTCGAGACCTCCATTACACGCGCGCTTTGATCTTCCAACCGTTCCGCAAGAACTTTCACCCCCATGTGAACTGGCGTTGACCGGTTCACCGGTGTGTTCGCGTTTAGATTTACCTTAACCTCTGCCAGAGATCGCGATAAATCGGATATAACAGGGTTGTCGGATGCGGGTCGTGCACCGATCGTGCGAGGTGTTTGCGAGTGTCAGCAAATGTCCAGCACTCGAACCACGAGAAGTCGTACTCGCTTCTATTCCATCGATACGAGATACCCTCGTAATTCGAATTTTATTATCTTCTTGGCTGGTTAACCTCTTGTCGTACCTCGTGTATAAATACCCGGCGGTATTCCAGGCGTCGAAGAGTAGGAAATTCCTGGACGGGCGTAAATCGTACCGGGACCAGTGGATTATCCGTGCTTCGTTGCGGAATTACGGCCTGTCGCCTTCGCTAATTCTCGCCGTTCAGACTTCGTTCTATAAAACCAATTTTTTCTTCGTCACGGTCGTTTCCGACGCGAAATTTACTCTTCCAGGCAAAAACTCTAACCCGACGTTTACCTAGACTCTACAAACGTTCCTTCGCTCGATCGCCAGACATCATGACGCATTTACCGATTGCTCGACGGACAAGCAGCGATCCAAGAGCGAAACCTTTGATCGCGGTTTCAGTGATTGGAGCCGACCTTAGCCAGGGTTCGGGACCAGGGAATCGCAAGTTTATATAACAAACTTGCTCTAGTCCCGACGGGAAATACCGGGCAAGTTCGCATCGATATTCATAAGAAAACAATATCCACGGCGTTTCTCGATATTGGCTTCTATCGCGTGTTTACCTTACAAATAACTCCTTCCTCGGAGTTGTTTGTTTCCTTGTTAAATATTTGCACAGTTGACAACGAACCTCGCAGATATTGAAACGAAAAAATTCACGGGGAGCCATGGCGACGTGGTTGTTGGCTTTATCCGGGCCATGGGAGCCGAGTCGATCGGGCAGGGAAAAAAGCGTGTAATTTTCCGGGCAGACAGCGAAACGACACTTCCGTCATGCTTTTCTTCCATTCGTTGGAAGTCTCGCGTTAGCTCGGGACTGAACGCCGGGGTCACGAGGAAACTCCTCGGAGACGCATTTTGCCAGGAGATTCTTGTCTCTGCGGTCGGGGCGGTGATCTAAGGTTTGATGCCCTTTGTCGTTTCTGCTGCTTCTCGCTGCTCTTCACCTCGGCTCCAATTGCATCGTCGACGAACCGCAGCCACTCTCTTCCTCGATTTGCGGTCAGCCAATTAGACGCATACAAAGAGATCGCGGTAAGGAAGATTTAATTGTCTCGTCGGGGCTGTTCGTCGATAAACTCTCTTTGCGATACCGATGCCGATACCGCTTACCTCCCTTTGCCTTTACTTTCCTCGCGGTGCTACTTGTGCGTTTAGAGCCTAGCCTCGCGAGGGAAGATAATTGATCGTAGACAAGGGGAGACCCGATTTTTATGCCGTCCTTTCCGACCGTGTCACTCTTATTAGACCGCTAAGTAGTTGCTTATTAACGTAATACAGCAACGGGAGAAGGAAATGGCCGGCTGTTAACGACGGTAATGAACACCGTAATTGGCTTCCTGTTCGCGATCTTGTCTTCGTGCCGCGCTGTTACGAGCAGATTTATTCGTTTGCGGGGACAATGAATGTCGCTGGAAAGCCCCGAACCTTCGGTTCATTATCGCAACCTTACGGGTACAATTTTACTTTTCTCCCTGTCGTCGTTACGACGACAAAGCGTCCCGGTTAATGCTCGTAATCGTTTGGGAAATTAAGCTCCGTTTCTTCCTCTTCTTCTTGCCGCGCGGGTGCCTGGCTATGGCGGCCCGAAGTTGCCGCCTCGGCCATGGATGACGCCACTTTACGCGCCAGAGCTTCCGCAAACTTATCACCCGGTGCGATCATACTGGAAAACAGGCAACGGATATCGAGCTGTACAAATATGTACATACGCGTTTATACCGCAGTGGCGTGGGATGATGCGATATGAAAACGCAGGCGGTATGTTTCTTATATTTTTATTAAATAACGCGTGACCGGGTCGCGACCACGATACAGCCAGCTTCACACCGCGGGCCCGGTATTAGATACAAAAGATCGTGTTACTCGAAAACGCGTGGACGATAAGAACTAATGATAGAAAGTAGCGGTAATATTACAATTTACACGTAATCTAACGGGTGACCCCGACGCGACGCGAGCTCTTCTCCGTGTCGATCGGCTGATGGAGTCTCGTGTCGCCTTCTTAATCCTCGATGACCGATTATGTCATCGCTATTGGGTGTCGGTGCATGGTCCCGTCGCGTCGTCCGCGCACACGCACGTCCTGCCGCTCTGACCATTCGGCAGGCACAGCTGGTCCTTGTTACACCTTCCGTTCTCGAACTGACAGGCGTTGGTCACTGTCGGGAACAGGCGAACGATAACTCGTGCGAGCGAGGTTAATCCAATTATCGTCGCGATACGGATGATCGCGCGAAATTATGATATTCGGTACGCTTTATGCAATTTTAAGGGAGCGATCAATTTCACGGGGAATAGAGGGAACGATGACATAAAACTTGATTTACCTCTCGGGCACGACTCAGGAACGACGACTATTCCGTATAATTTACCGTTCGCCCCTGGTGGTACCGATATGGCCGGCTTCCTGTCCCCGGTGCTCTTCATGGCGACTTCGATTTTGTGGCTACGGCGGTAAATAACGGATGATTGAAATATCTTCCAACTTGCATGCGCTTTACTCGATTTTCTCCGCTAGTTATACTACCCGTTTAAGCTTTATTAGCTCGTAACTTATTTTATCGATCGTTTGATCTCGTCTAAAGTCCGCCAAAACGCTTTAACTACCGATATCGCTGGAATATTCAATTACCACGCGGATTGTTTTCCGTTCCGAGTGCTTTCGCGTTTACTCCACGACTTACGTTTTCCAATCGGTCCAGTAATAATTCTGCTGCGATATCGCCAGACCAAACGGATAGGTGAGCTGGTTCGCGACCACGTTGATCTCTCTGCTATCGATCTCCATGCAACCTGTGAACGAGATCGTCAAAAATGCTCGGTGAGAGGTACACGATCTCCGTATTTGTATGTAGGTGTGGGGCCCCTCATGGAGTTTCTATTAATGTCTTCGTTTGGTACGCTCGATCTTGACTCTTGCGTTCCTATTGATGGTCTGATGATGCTATAGTGCTAGTCATTAGTATCACTTTGGTCATTTTGCTATGATAACAGGTAGAAAGAGGTAAGGAAGAAGAAAGGATGCGTTTCGACCCGGACCTGCCAGTGGACTCTCATCGGTAAGGCTTCCTAGCAGGTCCTGCCTTAGACAGGGATGCTTTAGGTGGCATAGAAACTTCTACTTAAGGGAGGTCACGGATTCACCGAACTTCCTTCAAGTAGGAAGATATTTATTGGCGAGGGTGAGAACGTAGGTCGCTAACACAGGAATGATGGGGTTTGAGAGCGAATACAAGGGAACACTTAGGCCTACCTAGATGATGATGGACAATACTCATCAGCTTAGGGTTCAGTCCGAATGTTTAATGTGACATCTGGAGTGCACGTGGAAGGACGAGTGATAGAATTAAGGGATGTTTGTGACAGGATCGAGTGCGAACAATGAGCGAAAGTTAGGAATGCGTCTGAGTATTTGGAGTACATGGTTCAGAGAGGACCAGGTCATGAGAAAGCATGCGTAGGGGAGAGTAGGTCTAAATAAGGATACAAGGGCTGTCTTAACCCATTTGCATTCAAGCGCAGAGTATTCCACGAGCCACGACTGTCTTCTATCACCTAGCTTTTTTCCATTGCCAGTTGCTGAATATTCTTCATGTGCCATAGATAACGTTTGATCCTTTTTGCGAGCATCTCGCCTACATCGGTTCATTCTGTTCTTAACAATTTTACTTTTGTCTTGAAAATCTTTTTAACTGCCATCAGTTGAACGTCGCTGGTTCCTGAATACGCCATCTTAAGCAGCGTCATAATGCAAATGGGTTAAGACAGTCCTTTACGAAGTTGGAAAAACAATTGACGTGAGAGTGTTAGTTGCGCGATCATAGGTCAGTTATCAGTCCAGTCTCTTAGTTATACTTTACTTCTGAGTCTCATTTAGCTAGCATTAAATATATATTGGAATAGGACAACATTTTGTACTCCTTATATTTGCCAAAGAAAATTATCCCCACACGTATACTTACTTATCGTAAACGTCCCTGCGTCCGCCCAACACAGCTCATCCATCGTCCAATCGATGCTTAACGAATTCGGTAGCTTCACGTAATCCCCTTGAAGGAAGATTGCACGACCGCTGCCATCCTCGTTGGCCCACTCCAATTTCGGCGAGGCGCGGTTCCAGTCGGACCAAAATATCTTTCTAGAAACGATCGAATTTCCACGATTTCCTTTACTTTCGAATTTATTTTCTCCCTTCTCCGCCCTTCTCGCGTTAGTCTTCTCGCTAACTTGCCCACCGAATTATCAATTTCGACCGACCACATGCCTCGCGTTCAATTTGATAGCGAGCGACGAATAGATGGTGGAATTCGACGAAGAAACGATACTCACCCACGATAGGGGTGCACGGCTATCCCTCTAGGATTGACCAGTCCGTCGGAAACGAGCACCTTCCGCTTCTTCGTCTCGAGATTGGCTACCTCGACGGTCGTTTTGCCCGAGTCGGTCCAGAAAATATTTCTCGAGACCCAATCGACCGTCAGTCCCTCGGGGCTGCTAAGTTTCGGCAAGAACGTCTCTGCCATCGATCCGTTGTACGTTAACTCGATTATTCGATTACCTGGAAAATAAATCTCGTCTAGACAGAGCATCCCGGTGGCTGATACTTTCGCAGGAAAATTGCCCTCGTGATCCACCCCTCCACGTAAAGTTTTCGCCAGTTAATCTTACCGGTGATGTCGCTCGAGTAAGCCTTCCCGTTCGTACAGTCGATGTCGATCGCGATCGCCATCTGCATGTAGTCTATGTAAATCGGCCCGCCCGAGTTCTCCTGTGTCGGCGCGAACGGGATCCTCAGCGTGGCCATTCCTTGATTCACCAGCAGGAAGTTCGCCTCGTGTTTCGGCCTAGATTTGCAGTTGGCCCCATCTCCGGTGAAGCCTTCGTTGCATACGCAAGCGAATTGATTCTCCCCGGCCACCACGCACGTCGCGTTCGGCGAGCAGATCGTTGGATCCAGTCTGCAAGAGGACTGGGGCAAGCACGTGAACCCGTCGCCGTAAAAGCCCTGGAAATAAGCAGAGCTCGTTAGAAAACGACCATCGCGCTCGAACGGGTTTCCCCTCGCTATCTGGAACCGGAGCCAAACTTTATTCCAACGTTTACGACCCCGCGCCGCGTTAAGGGATATAAAGACTGGTCGTGTCTGACAATCGACGCTCCGTTACTACTGCTACGATTCTTATTAATACCGAGTCTACGTTCGGACTCCCCGAAACTCCACCATTTTCGAACATCCTCGAGAATTACTACTGGTCGCCGTCAGTTATCGCGATCTGCACCCGAACCAGTTCCAAACTCCGCGAATTACTGACCTCAGTTTTTCTACTTTCCTACGTCTTACGAAATTATTACTGGCGCCGCGTCTAGCCCCGTTTAACACGTTCACGCTGGCGTGTATCATCGGTGGCTTACACTCGAGTCTCCCATCGTGTGGAGTGTACCACCGGGAGCTCACACTTAAATATTCCAGTAGAACAAAAGTTTAGTGTACATTTTTTATTTACGTAAGTGTAAACTTTAGTGCAAACTTTTATTTTGTAATTGGCTTATACCACTTTGAAAATAAACGGTCAATATATTAAAATAGTAGCCTAGGGCGTTTGAATAGCCCTACAACGAGGAACACAAGAATCAGCACCGGCGTGAACGCGCGAATCCGTTACCACCAAGCAAGGGGGTTTGCTCGCTCGACAACGTTCCCCATTTTTGTCCATTTTTTAACACTCTCTCTCTCTCTTTCTCTCTCTCTCGGGGATAGCTGGCAGCTCCATCGATGTCTAATCTCGCGAGATTCGACTGTAAAGCCGTAATTCGTGACGAATTTGCGGGTTCAATAAACATACCGACTGGCAGATGCAGGCGAAATTCGCGGAGGTTTGATTGTAACCGCAGACCGCGTTCCTGCCGCAATTATTCAACACGTTGCAGCCGATGTGGTCCTCGACGCATTGACGGATCCCGTCACCGTTGTACCCTTCGATGCACACGCACTTGTAGCCACCTTCGCTGCTGGACACGCATTGCGCGTTCACGTGGCACTGCGACGAATTCGTGGAGCAGTCGGACACCACGCAACGTCCGTCCACCATGCTGAATCCCGGGTTGCACGTGCACTCGAACCTCGAGGTGGCCATGTTGTACGAGCACTGTTCGTTCTCCAGACAGTCCGCTTGGTTGTCGCATTCATCTGCGAGATAAACGGTTATTGTAGCGAGCGAGTTTCGCTAGTCGATTATTCGTTTAGGGTTGACGTTACTCTAGGGTCGATTCTATATCGCGTGCTCATGCGATTACGGAAGCGCTAATGCAACGTTCCTCGTGTCTCGCGAGCGCAGACCGGTGGATCGATGCGAGCGAAAGCTATCGTGACACGGGGATTAGAAATCCGACGATACAGGGGGTTGAATGAGATAGAAAAAGATAGAAAAAAATAGAAAAAAATAGGAAAGGTGATATGACCGATTGGGCTGCAGGTGGTGCCGTCTCCCTCGAATCCTGGATTGCACACGCACTTGGCCAGCGACTCGTCCTGCTGGCAAGACGCGTTCGGGTCGCAAATGTCCACGTCCAAACAGGACACCTCTGTGCCAGAACAACACTTTTCATTCACCCGTTGGATAATAACGAGTAATAGTAATTTCCTTGCTCGCGAATGATGATGTTCAAAGGAACAAGAGGCGAGCAAGATGCAAATCAACGTACCTGTCTTTGTGCAGTCCATACCGTCACCTTCGTACCCGGGGTTGCAGCGACACTCATAGTGCGCGGTGCTCGGCACGTAGATACATTGGGCGTAGGGGTGACACCAGTTCACCACGTTGCACGATACTGGACACAAGCGTGCGCAATTACGATAATACTCTCTCTCTCTCTCTCTCTACTACCAGGTAATTGCCTCGACTATCCACGTCCGAGTTGTTTCGCGACGCGCTTTTTTCTCTTTTTCTTGCATTTTCTTTTTTCCCAATCGATCGCGCGAATCGCGTTTAGAAATGCTTACGCCTTTGCGGAGACGTGCCGGACGTTTGCTAACGGATTTATCGTCGTATCGCGGCGACGTGACGAGATTTCGACGGGAAAATTATCGACACGACGATGAATCCGTTGGTGAGCCTCGGTTAGACTCGATCGCGAATGAAACGAGTAGAATTAAATCGGCGAATGCGTAAAGCGCGTAGAGCACGTGCAAAGAAATCGGTTAATAGGCCGAGCAAATTAGCGAAAGCAAAGCGGACTATCGTACAGTGTACTCCTGATGGACCCATGGTTTCGTGGTTGAATCCCGGCCGGGGCACGCAAATCTCCTCCGTACGGTCGTGATCGTATCCCCAGGGACATATGCAGATGTCTTCGTAGCATCCTGGGATTGGGCGTGCCGATACTAGAACGCACGATGCAAACCGTTCGTCGCTACCGGTTAATAATCGTCGCAAATCACACGGGATAATTGTAATAGGCTCTGTGGTTCATGCTATCGCGAACTTGCTCGAATCACGTTCCACGTGCGATTAGTCCTCATGCACAGATACGTGTCAATCCCTCGAGGACCAGGATCTTAATTTCATACTCTTCTCGTCTTCTATCGTCTTCTATTTTCTCCTGTTCCTCGAGGGATTCGCATCTCCATTGCGACTGACTCGAGGCAAGATTGGCAAAATTTCTCGTGCAATTTAACAGTCTCAAATACTCAAGATCGTGCCTTAGAACTGTGATACCGATGAAAAAATGCAAAATTCGTTCGAACCACCCTCTACGTCGTACTTACAATGGCGATTGTACGAGATGGACTTGTTCTCGTTTTCCTGTTGCACGCATTCGTTATTCTGATACTCCCAACCTCTTGGACACCAACACATCTCCTCCACGCACTGCGGTTTCGGCGGTTCGTCCGTTGTGGTTACGTCCGCATCCGGGTAACACGTGTAGCCGTCGCCTGGAAACGATCGTGATCGTTGGGGCGGAAGGCGATCGCGGGATTCGTTTGCAAATCGAACGGTAACGCGCGGAAAGGGTGAGAGGAAATTGCGCGATTTCGAACAGAACAGCCAGAAACGTTACACGCCATCCCATCGTAATTGGATTCGAACTTTGCCTTGGAAGATCCTTGGAAGATCCTTGAATCGCATGCCGGTTCGATGCGTTAAATATTACTTTTGGAAAGCGACTTCCATCGCTTTTGCAAAGTTCCGCGACATCGCCGAGGCATTTGACATCTCCGACTTACGCTTTCAACGTTTCGAACGCGGTTTGGAAAATTCGCGTTAACGAATAATCCACTCTTACCAATGAAACCTGGCAGACAGATGCACACGTGCCTCTGCCTCTCCGCGTCGAAATTGCAGATACCATTGGGAGAGCAGTTATCCTCCACGTTGCAGGAACCTGCAATAGCAGTCTCGGTAATGTCGGTTAAATAATTCTCGAGAATGAGAATTAGCGGGATGAAAGGACGAGCGTTCTTACCCTGCTCGGATATGGGGTAGCAACCCTGCTCGGTCTCCTCGAATCCCGGCATGCAGATGCAATTGGGCACCCCTTCGATCATTAGGCATTGCTCGTAGTTGCCGCATCTCGTATCCTCGCACGATGGAAGCTCTATATTTTCAACAGAGGGTACACCGGTTATTGACGACTCGTAGAGCAGAGTCTCCTCGCGCCAGCAGAGCAGAGGTATCGATGCTCTGGTCGAACTAGTGGCTCGAGGAGTTATCTGGGTACGGTAACCTCCGCTTCTCGTCAAACCACGGACTTACTCTCGCAGGTTCGACCGTCTCCGGAGAATCCGTGCCTGCACTGGCACATGTGGCTACCTTCCTGATTAATGCACTGCGCGTTCGGCGAGCACATGTGGTTTCCGGCCGTGCATTCGTTCACGTCCACGCAGACGGCGCTACCGTCTTCCTCGTACAAATACTGATAACTGACGAACAGAATATTATTGAGATCTTCTCGAAAGGGATTTTCTTCGGGGTATTCGTGTTCAAACGAGGAAGAATTTGTGGGGGTCCTCCCCACCATCGTTTGGAAGTCAGCTGGTCACAGGTATCCTCCGTGGTGGTGTAGCTAGAAGGGACGGAAGGAAATGGAAGGGATGCGTTTCGTCCCGGGCCTGCTGACGGACTCGTCAGTAAGGCTACCTTAACAGGCCGTGCCTCAGACACTGGGATACTATTGGAAGGACAGGAAGTTATATATATGTAGGATCGGATTGGGTGGATTGGCTAAAATGGCGCTGGTTTACTTCTTAATGGAATAAAATAAGCTTATACGTAGACTGAGGGCTATGAAACAAGAGGGATTCGCTATGGGTACGTTCGACTTTGACTTCTTAGACACTACCTGAAGTACGCTTAAGGATCGTTAAAAGACTGTTACAGACTGTCAAGGGCCTTTAACCCCTTGGCCTACACGGTATAGTAAACAAGAAGGTCGGTCGCGCGCCATGCCATTCAGCTGTTCAGCCGTGTACCCGAACTGGCGCAAAATCTATACCTTTCATATGTATATTTCGGTGCAACAAAAGGAATTGTGAAATAATATACAACGTTTGGGTACAAATAGTAATTTTAAGACGTCTAGGGCGGAATCACGATTAATTCGTTTACGACACAAATTCTTTACCACGAGTGAGATTCGTGGTTTTCGTTTATGACACAAATTCTTTACCACGAGTTAGGCTCGTGGTTATAGGCCAAAGGGTTAAGAGTTTCTAGGCTAGTGTCTAAGAGTGTGTCAGTATGGAAGTAAAGAGTCAAAGTCGAACGTGTCCATACAACGAATCCCTCTTGTTTCATAGCCGTCAATCTACGTATAAGCTTATTTTATTCGTTTAAGAAATAAAACAGCGCTACTTTAGCCGATCCACCCAATCCGATCCTACATATATAGGAATTAGAGGTTTTCCGAGGACTTGCGCGAAAGTCCTCGAAGACGGAATCCATCTAGTGGCGAGGGTGAGAATGATGGTCGCTACAAATTCTTCCTCGGAAGAAGAAACGGTACCGTTTCTTCGAGATCTACTTAAATCATGTACCGAGTGGACCAAGTTAAAGCGAATCTCCTTACCCGGGATTACAGACGCACTTGAAGCTGTCCCCATCGACGATGCAGGAACTGTGAACGCTGCAGGTCTCCCTTCCCTGGATGCAGGGGTCCTCTTCCTTGAGGGGCGTAACTTTCGTGTTCACCGCGAAACGTATAATTCCTTCGACCGCTTCGTAAGTGGTAACACCCCTGAAGAACTTCAATCTGGTCGTGTCGTCCTCGGGCTCGACGGCGAGGTACGGGCATTCGTTATAAATGATCGTTTGGTCTTGTGTGAAACTGAGCTTCCGCTCCGTGCCAGCTTCGTTCAGTTCGCAAGTTCTCTCGCTCTGTGCGCGGATCACACCGGCTTGCGCTCTGGTGTAAAGTTCGTCGTAGTCGCAGTAGACGACTCTGGTGTCCCTCGTCAACTGCGGCAACGTACCTTTGATCTTCGCCTCCATCTTCAGTTGCCCGAAGACGTCCAGCCCGAGGTAATTGCTTTGTATCGTCAGCTTCTCGCCCGTCGACGTGAACGTCAACTCCGTCGTGTGATTGAATAATCCCCCTGAATCGATCGTTCGTCCAAGTTAAACGTTGTCAGCCTAACTTCCATTTTAAGCCTTTGGGTTCGTTAGGGAAAACGGGAGTGGGAGAATTCGGAGAATTTGTCGCGATTTAGTACCGTCTTCGAGTACCTACCCGTGATCTCGTAGCCATTTTTCGTCTCACCGATCGGTTTCGCGAACAGCCAACCGATCACTCCTCCTAAATTTCCTAGCAACTGGAAGCTGGCGCCAATTTCTTCGGGCACTCTCGACAGAGCCGTGTACGTCCTACCGTCCTCCGTTTGCACGTAACACTGAAGATCCTTCGGGGGGAACTCCACGCCGTTGATGGTACCGGAAACGCGTCCATTCACGCGCAACGGTATATCTGTAACGTTTCATCGATTCAACTGCTTTGAATACCACGTCGAAATCACACGTTTCGTTCAGGACGCCACTGGAGTGCACCGCTATATGCAATATTTGTCCTAATATTTTTTGGATCGATGTTTTAATAAAAATTTTTGATCGTTCAATTGGGCACCTTATATTTCAATGTATTTTCCAATTAACTGTTATATTCAAAATACGCTACCTGTCAATTTTCATTCGATGTAGATCAATGTAGTTCGAGTAGTTCAAGCGCTCCGGTAGCGTCACAGGTGAAACCGTGGTCGGTTATATATGTCAAAGTGTTAATAACAATTACAATTTTATTTAAACTAAAAGATGACACCTCGCTATATTCTCGCTAGGCTTTCTACGCTAGCACCGCCCTCACACCCGTACATCCTTACGGTTTTACTTCCTTTCGTTCTAATTTTAAACCTTTAAGAACACGAACAAGAAGTGTCAATTTTCATTCGATTTTTACAACTGTAGTTTTACGAGTAGTTCAAGCGCTCCTGTCACCAACGACCACCGTGGCGTCACAGGAGAAATCGTGACCGGTCATATATGACCAACGTGGCAGTCAAAGTGTTAAACTCCGTCCCCTGGTAATCGAAATTAGCCTGTCCTCGTAAAGCGTGGCATTCGTGCAGTCGCTTTTCGTTCAAAGAGCATCTGCCTTGGAGAATCCGGTCTTTTACGAGGTGATCGAAAGAGCAGGAAAGCCAGTTTTCGTGAACTATGAATAGATCAGAGGGAACGCGAGCGTAGTGGTCCGTTGTTGGAGTTGGTTTCGCGACACTCGTCGCTGTCCAAAAGGGGAAGAGAGTCGGTTAAAAGTACGGAGACCCCTCTAAAGCGAATTTTTATGTGGCGTGGCTACATCAAAGGGACGTGACTCGGGGATAATTGGAGGGTTCCTAAGTTTACAACGACGGAGGACCGTGAAACGACGATTCTCACCGTTCGGCTGGCAGGATTTCCCGTTGCCGAAGAATCCTTGCTTGCAATGGCAACAGAAGCCCACCTCGTAGTCGACACACGTCGCCTTGCTGTGGCATGTCGTCGCTCCTGTCCTGCAGTTGGCTACCTGGTTCGTTACGCTGCTATCTGATCGATAAAGGAATACGGAAACATGGTACAGTCCGAAGAGAAATAATTCACCGAAGAATCGCACGAATCGACGCGAAAGCGCCATTCTCGATAAGAAATTCACCTTCGATGTTGTCGGGCGTGATCACGTCCTCCTCGTCAGAGATCGGTCCGACTTGGAACAGCCACTGTCCAGGTCGGTTCACGTTCGACCACCTGGAGGACAACAGGAAATTACGATCTCGGTCGAAGACGGGATCGATAGCAAGACTGAACGATCGTTCCCGTGACTCACTTGTCGACGTTCTGGATCTGATCCGTGCCGGATCCCCTCAGCGTGTATATTCTTCCTTCGCTCATTAATCCTGCCTGTGCCTTCGCGTCCGGCAGACCGTTGGGGTGCGACTCGCCTTGAATCCATTGTATACCGTTTTCCGGGTACAATAATTCCACGTAGGAATGCGTGCCGTTCGACGAGATGGCTACCTGATACGTGTTCACCTGAGAAAAATCCAGTTACGTTAGAACGAACGCGAGAGAGACCGATCGATGTTATCTCGTTTATCCATCTACGCGTATCCCTTATCTCTTACGCGAGAAAATGTCCGCTTACGAAAGCAGACGCTGAAACAGCTCGACTCACATTAACTAACCTTGTCGCTTTTCCCGTTGTAGTACCCAACGTCCACCCAGGTGGCGAGGAACACGTGGGTCGGCACGAAGTCCCCGGCGTCCCTGAAAGCGCTGCGGACCATTCCTCCGGCTCTGGCGAGCACTTCCGGCGCGTCCGTTTCGCCGTAGTACACCCTTCCGGAGGCTCTGGTGTCGACGTGCGTGTACAGCGGCGCGATAACCGGATCGTCCAGAGGAAACGCGATATTGAAGAACCTTTGCATGGCCCTGGCGAAAGAGAGCACGCCATTTCCGTTCACCTGCAACCAGGTAAGATAACCTCTTCATCCCCCGTCGTATCGCGCGGTGGTAACGGAAACGCTCGGAAGAAGCAGATTCGACAGCCTCGCGTAATTAAAAGTCTCATTACTCGAATAAGGATCGAGCCGCGAGATTTCGCCAACCCCTTTGGGAAAACTTTCATTATCCATACGACGTAATGCGAAGATAAAATTTCCGCGACCGGCTTTATCCAAGTTTTACCTTAACCTCGGTACAGGGTTACCGAGAGACGGTCTCCGTAAACGGAGAGCCTCCTAAATTTCACGACTTTCAACCTGCCCGGAGGTAGTAATCTGCATATCTAGATTCTCTTTTGGTCCGAGAGAACTCGTAAACCGGAGACCGAGAGCTCGAGATATTTTCGATAACCTTCGAACTTGTAGTTTACGTTCGAGTTCGTCGGAATCACCGATTATTCTTTTCTCCGTAACGACCCGAAGCCGATTTTATCGCGATATCGGTTGGACGAACGATTATCAAGAAACGGAAAGAAGGCAGGATTGGCAGAAGGTAGATTTGGTGACCCGCAGATGGTTTCACAGGTAGATCGATGCAGCACGTGTCGCGGGATGCTCCGGTGATGCAACGAGGCGTCTCGTATGCACGCGGAAAGTCATTCACCCGGTGTACGCGTGGTTTAACGACGCCGAAGCATTAGAAAGGGCCGGGGTCCGAGGCTGCTCGGGCCTTGGCGGCGCGTCTGCAAGCGTAGACGTCGTTTCGTCAATTGGCTAAACTAAAAGGCGCGCGCGTTGCTCCACATTCGTGGCGGGAGCAGCTGCGGCGTCGCTTCTCGGCGTTTAACGCAGACGAAATTAAAACTTCAACGAAACACTATTTTTGCTTTGCCGCGAATGTTTCCCTCGTTCGTACCTCTGTCCACACGTGGCCTACATAGTCGCGTATTTTTGGGTCAGCGCGATCTAGAAGCCGTGTGCTCCGATCGTTCAACGGCTATTCGAGTTTTGGAAATATTTCCAGGTAAATCTTACCAAATCACGACGTACTAGATATAATTCAAAATCAAATTTAAATTGAAAAATTTGTGTCGCAGATTTGTAAATTTTCGAATTTTCAAAATCAAATTTTGAAGTTTTCGTATTCGCGATTCTTGCAGAGAGATTATGCAGTGTTAACCTTTTGCACTCGAGAGTAAATAATATATCAAATTTAAAATTACCTAACGATGCGTGGAATGTCGAAGAAAAGTAATTCTACGTCTTAACACGTTCATCGTCATGTCTGGGTGACGAGTATGCTTCTGTGGGGGCCCCGTCACCCGAATATGGGTGACGTTCTTCTTGTTCAAGTTAAATAGGATTTTCAGCTGGATTTTTAAAAGGAATTTAATGGAATAGGCACTGAATTATAAACATAGGATATACAATATAAAAATATGAAAATTATACACATTATACTATACTTTTTATTAATTTATATCTAGGATAAAATATTACGTTATACTATGTCGCGTGGTATTCGTTAAAACAGTCTAAACACATTTGAGGTGATTTTGGACAATTGGAACAATAGGTCGTAGTGTTTTTACATTTTTCGTAATCGTCTGTCAATATATTCACGACTGGTAAAACTTTACCAAGTCTGTTACTCTGTTCTATCGTTTAGTTATTTGCAAAATGCAAGTTTGCCGATGGTAATTCGAAACGATTACAGGAAATGGAAAGTTGTAAATAGGGTCCGTTGACCAACATCTAACGAGCGATGTCTGTACTAGACCCATCCAAATCATCGGTCCGATAACGTTCTAGCGCTGAGACAGTAGGATTTGGGCCCCGCGAGAAACTCGATCGAATCGCGCTGGGCGACGAACTTGTTAATTTGCGTATGATTTCTCGTTTACCATTTTAAAAACATCGTCGACACTATGACAGGAAGTCTTCGAATTACTATTTTCCTGTAACGAAAAAGTCGTCGAGTGCAAAGGGTCCAAGTATCCGTTGGGTGAACAATTGCGCAGCTCGTTATGTTTATGAAAGGGTGACATAACGTTACGCGTTCGGAACAAAGATGTCGGACAGAGGAAAGGCGGAAGTAACGCTTCCTAGCCAACGACCCTGGCTAATTGACGAAGTTTAACGCGACGACCGAATTCCGGCCTGGTTCCGACCATTCTCACGTCCCTGTTTCTGGTACCTCCGATTGTCCGACGCTCGTATTGTCTTCGCGCGGTGCTAATATCGCGGGCGCCGCGTTGAATTCAACACCCGAGTGGCGCATATCATTCAACCAGCGACCTGGTCGCGCGAATTGACACGAATTAGACCAGTCAAGTGTCACTCGCAGTTTCCTCGCTCTTTAGGTGCTCGGCATTGTACGCGCCGCGTCGGGAACCAGAGAACGAGCATGGTTTGTCATCCTAGGGGTCCTTCTGTGCCCAACAATCGCGTAGAACTCTCATACCGAAAAATCTTTACGAAATCGCAGTCCAATTTCGCGCAGCAGTTCCAGCGCGACGAAACTGATCCAGTCCCCCCATCCGGGAAGCTTAATCATTTTCGATCCCGGATCGATGGATCCTTTCTTCGCGGTATGCGCGAGCAATTTCGCGCGGGTGGAGTCCAATTGAAAACAGAAAGAGTGAAGCGGAAGGAAAGGAAGCGAAAAAAGAGTGTCCCGAGCCAAGTCCCCGTAATTATTCCGATCGACCGGCGGCGAGCTTTCCCTCTCCTTTTAATCCTGCCGCGATCGATAGCAATCGGCACGGATTAGCCATTTCCGATTAGACGATTTTCCGCGCGATAATTACGAGGGCGTCGGCAAACCGGGATCACCGATAATCGATGAGAGCCGCGGCCAGTTTCAGAGTGGACATCGATCGCGTCTTCTCTCTATCTATCTCCCGTTCTCTCCTTCGCTCTCTCCTTCTGCCTCTCTTTCCGTACTCCGGCGTTTTGACAGTGGTGCGTTCCGAGAGAAGAGTCGGACTGCCGCTATCTCCTCTGGGGCTATCGCTCGGGTCGTAGGTCACAGCTGAGCCGATGACACACACGCACACACGTAATCCCCGGTAATCGCGAACGCGAGAGAAAACGGTGAAAATAGATAGGGACTGGTTGCAAGTAATACGAGGAATCCGTCTTGCTCGTCGATTCTCTTCCTGATGTCACCGATTATCCCCGCCACGGGTCCCTAGTTAAATAAAATCCGCGGGGGTCCGGGGCTAGAACGCCATCTGTCAGCAACCGGTGAACGTGCCCCCCGTTGTACTCGAATTTCTCGTCAAGCTGGAGGAATAAATTTTTCGCCGGTTACTCTTACCAGCCTTTGATCGAAGGAAAGAAGCAGAGAGAGTGAGCGTTTTCCGTTCGATTATTCGAATTTCGCTCGGGAGAAAGAGGCTTTGACGAGCGAGGCGGCGTTAACTCGGTCCCCCTCGCGGCGGCAAAGAAATTAGACGCGAAAGGAGATTGCGGCCGCTGGAAAACCGCGGTCCACGAGAGCTTCAATTAGCCGGGCAAACAACAACCGCGGCTCCCCGCGCGATTGCGTTAAATACCAACTTCGTGCTCGTTTAAACTTGAAAACTCGATCATTTCACGGGACACTTTGCAGGGATAACGAGATTCGCGGAACCAGTCGTGCTCGTCGCAATCCCCCTCGCCAGTCTGCGTCCTCCGATCGCCGGCTACGCGCCAACGATCACGCTCTTGACAACGAGCCTCCTTCCACTGGCAGACAGACAGACAGACAGACGGATCGACCACGTTTTCGAGACACGAGGTGAACAAGGCGTCCGCACGCGCTAACGCAATCGTGTAATCGGCCGCAATCATTTTGATGACTGCGAATCGTCGACGATAAGCGTCGAAATAGAGACGATTGTCTTAATAAAGATGATTGTCTCAATGGAGGCAGAGCTTCTAAGTAGACCGTCGCGGATATATCGCGACTCGTATCTGTGTCAATCAATTCGTCGGCGAACCTAAGCCAGGTTTGCATGCCAAACATCCGTCCTTCCTTCCTTCCTTCCTTCCCAACTCCTCCGTTTCCCCTAGAAAATTGCACCGGTTTTCACCGTTTCCATCGCGTGCCGTCCAATGGGTCGTCGCGACACGCGTGGGCTAAGAAACGAGTCGTGTCTCGCGTGCTGCTTTTCCCTTCTCTCGAGTTCTTGCTCGGCCGTGAAACCCGATTGTCCGCTAATCGGTTACCGATCATCCTCGTACCTCGTGGGCTCTAGAGAAGAACGGATAATCCTGGTGCTTTTGCCGATGCACGCGTTGGTGCAGATGTTGGCGAGGGTCGGCAGTTAGCGCGCGTTAGAAATAATTTCGCACGAGTTCGTTATTGGCGGTAATTTAATTAACCGCGAACTTTTCGAGCGAGTCTAATTGGTCTCCGCGACGCTGGATGACGTCGCCGGGAAGATGTGGAAGAATCGCGGGCGGAATTTCGTAACGGCTAACTAATGTGGGAAAGCGTCAAGGCTAATTGGCCGCGTTTACAACGTAAATCGTCCGTCGCGTTAGCGTCCAACTGGATGCAAATCCAGCGGCCGGCTTCCGATACCATTCGTTTAGCGAGATCGTATCGTTGGCGGACGAGCGCACGGAACCAACAGGTATCTCTCGCTCCGCTGGCCCTCGGCTCGGTGCAATTTCCGCGAAACGCCGCGCAATAAGCGCGGACTAATTGCAGCCGCTCCTCCGCTTTCCGCCCGATCAATCAAACGCGTCAAATCGCGCTTACGTATTTATCCTTTTAATTACCGACGCCGGTGGAAATCGTCGTTCGGAAATTCTCGCCGCGTGTCTTTGCCCGCTTGCCTCGCCGATTTATCGCCGCTTCTGTATATTCTTGCGTAACGGCCACGGCTAATTAAATATTTATCTGATGCTCGACGGAGCTTAATTAACCGCGCGGCAGCGCGAAAAACGAGCCTCAGCTTCCGAGCGAAACGGATCCGGCCAAGTCGCGCGCCGTTCGCGGGTCCAGCTATCGGGATCGCATCTCGACGGACGAGGACGCTCGAACACGAGGATACAGGCGTGTATATCTTGCCGATCGAGGCTCTCTGCTCGACTGGTTAACCGACTCTCCCGGGATTATCCGTAGATAATTCGGTCGCCTTCCGGCCGTGTTCCGCGCCGTTGATTCGATAAACTCGTGGCCGAAACGCGAGCGTCACTCGCGTCGATAACGCATCAATTGGCACGACGATCGCGTTAATGACCGCGTGGATGAATGAAACGCTGTACTACTACGAGCCTCGATCAACCTCGTGCACGTGGTCGTCGTAGCGAAGCACGCGACACAGTAATAAAACGAGCGCGAAATTCCAGTTTTCCTGGCTTTTTCTCGAACAGGTGATGGCGCGAGCACGCGACGCGAGGGACGTCTCGCGGAGGAGAAGCTGGTCGAGTCGCCGTAAATGGCTACCGTCTACGCGACGAGTACACACACGGCTGGCAATTATCACGGTTACGATCGCGTGTTTTCCTACGCGCGGTTTCTTACGATGGAAACACGTGACGCCGCGCGACATGCATGAGATCATGCACCTTGGCACCGCTCCGGGATCAATTGGAAGATTCCTCCGAATACCTAGATAGAGCGGCGGGGGAGGAGACGGTACCGAACAATCAATGTCCATTCACGCTGCGTGTGCGCGGCTGCTGAATCGGTTCGTGGAAAAGTGAGATCACCGCAGAACTCGCTGCAGGACTCTTCTAATCTCGCCGTGTTTGCCTTCCATGACTCAATACCTTCCACGACTAATCTCCGCGTTGCGTTTTCCCCAAAAATTCCTAGATAAATCACCGACGCGTTATCTGCGTTGGCTTGGTCGGCGAACCGAGCGTGTCGTTCCCCGGCCGATTCTCCGTGATCGAGGAATCGTTGGTGGATCGCTGTTTCAGAATTTTCCGCGAAATCCGCCATCTTATCGCGGAGTTGTCGCCGAGTCGGTGGTCGAAGGGGCGAGTTCCACGTCCGGGCGAGCGTGGTCCGCGTGACAAGTGACGCGCAACGAGACAGAGAGCATGAGAAGCAGCTCGTGCGACGACCCAAGCGCAATTAAGCGATTGCGCGCCGGCTGCGGCCGTTTGACCGTCATCGCGGACAATGAATTCGTGTCACGCCAGAAGATGACGACAGATTAGACCACGAGCCGAATTAAGGGGATGACCGAATGTCCCCGGCTTTTCTTCGTTGCGCGCGAATTAATATTAACAGAACGAATTACACCATCGTTGGCAAACGTGACCGTCGTCGTCGTCTCCTTCGGCCTCTGTCGAGTTTCCAATATTTTTTCTATCCCGCAACACCCGTCCAGCCGAAACGGAACGACGCGTACTACCCGCAGGGAATGTGGGAATCGTTGTATTTACACGAGGGAGAAGAGACGTTTCCTCTCTTGCAACGCGCGAGTACCGGTCCTAATTTAAAACATTAAATAAACGATTTTCGTGTTGCGCTACCCCTTTCTCCGAAAAGCGTAAACAGTGGCACGCGCGCTCCGTGTTTACACAATTTCGCGCGCTGCAAGGGTTATTCGTCGTTCGAACGGCCCCAGCCCGCGGCCCTCTATCGAGTTTTACCGTGTATTTTTGTGAGCACCGAAATTAAACGGGGCCGGATGCGAGTGGCTACCGCTGCCCGATGGAAAACCGCCGCGACCGCGGTTGCTGGATAAAAATAACGATTTATCCGCCGAATCGCCCGACTTTCTATCCAGTTTTAAAATAAATCCGCGTGCTTTACAGATTCGATACCGAGCGTCGAATTTTCCTCGCGAACCCGCGCCACGCGAATTATTTTTCTAAATCCCTTTAACCGACCCTATGGAGAAATCCGAGAACGGAAACAGGGGAAAAAGAAGAATAATAAGAAAACAAATAAAAAAAAGTAAATATCGCGTCGGAATAGTGAGAAAATTCCTAAATTCTGCCAAGGAAGTGACGATAGAAAGAAAATTCGACGTTACTCACGAATATGGAGTCGAAGATCTTGTCGTAGAACGCGATGGGTGTCTTCAGAATGGTCTCCGCGGAGAGGAGCATCCCGTTCACGTCCGTCTGCAGGATGAAGGATCCAGGCGTCGCGTAAGGATACAGATCGTTCTTGTTGAGGGCCGCGTTGAAGGGCCCGAACAGGACCAGCACCAGGGCCAGCGTAAGGGCTGACCACGAGACGCTGAGACGACACTCGCGACGAGTCATTCTCTCTCTCGAGCTGCCTTCGAGCTACTGTCGATCGACACAGCCGCGACGAGTTCTTCTCTCTTGCCGCCCCCTAATCGCCTTTGCCCGCTCGTCCTCTCGACCGCTCATCTTTCAAACGCATGAAACACCGTCTCTCTGCTCTCTCCCGGTGCCGCCGATAATTTCGTGCTACGATCCCCTCCATCGACCCAGTCCGCCTCGGATCGCTCGCCTCTTCCCGCGAGGGCACGCGCGAGTATCGTCTGCCTTTCTTATTTTTATAAATATACGCGTATTCCTTTTACGCTTCATTTTTCACGCGTCTCTACGACCGTCGCCGCGGTTTATGTTACAGTGGGCCCTCGACTTTTGGACACAATCGGTTCCCGAATGTATGTCCCAATATCGAATATTCTGAATTAGAGGGATGTCAAAGAATATGCACCAAAAACTGCGTTTCAAAGTACAGGTGACCCTCCTATAACACGGCAGATAGGTTCCTAGAAAATGCCGTGTCGTGTGAAACCGTGTTGTATGAGACCCAGAGCCAGTACGAAAAGGGGGGTTACGTTTCGAAAACTTACTAAAAACAAATTTCTTTTTTATTTCTACATAAAGAACGTAATTTTTATTAAAAATATAAACGTACGTACAACACGAAACAAAACAAAAACAAAAATATTATTTTAATTTAACGCAATTTTAATTTAATAAATTTCTTCGTCGTCACTGTTCATATAGAAGTATAGTGTTGTACAAAGGTTTTTGCAATTTTCTTATCGTGTTAGAGCGAAACCGTGTTATAGGATGCCGTGTTGTAGGAGGGCTACCTGTATTTATTTATCGATATATGTACATAAAGTGATATGATCGGATTGAGAAATGAAAAGGGGCTTATGATTCTGATTATACCTCGGGGTTTCTATGAAGCGTGGTGCACACGGTGGGCTGTCAAAAATTGTGTGCCATCGAGCCATTCGGCTAGATTGTATAGGCTCTATGACAACCATTCACTCAATCCTGCTTTGAGAATCGATAAGTTGAATGGTTCCACGAAGCAAAGATAGATCTCGATGCAGGGTGACGCCATTAACACTAAAACTACCGATCTTTAATGACGTGCACAGATTATAGTAATTTCAGCGGTACGATGAATACGAGTGGATATATTGATTACAGTTCTTTCTTAATATGACTTGATACCAATTTTATTTTTAAAGCAGGTGTATGTGTTCGGTGATTGCAAAAAGGAAAATTCTGGAACCAGTCATTTTGACTGGGTTGGTAGTTTTAGTGTTAAAATAAAGATTCCTCTCGCGATAACGAAGTTAAAGAGGCGTGTTTCGGGTGTTTTCTGTACAAACTTCGTCAAAAGTTAGTCGAATACCAGTCTTTTTCTTCTTTTCTCGAAAGAAAGGCTTAAAAAGTTGCCATTTGATAAAATTTGGAAGATCGATGTTAATTAATATATCAAATTTAACGTAATGTAACGGTGTTCGAGGTATCGGAATCAAGTAATTCTACAATTCTATTATTATACAATTCTTTATTCACTGCTCAAAAAAGTATCGTCAGTTCTTTAATGGAGAATCTTTGAATTTCTACTCTTCTCGTCGAGTGCAAAGAGATAAAAATGTGCGAAATAGCGAGGTGCGCGAGGGACTCCTGTACCTCGCTATAGTCACTCGTAGTTGCTTTCTGCAGTGTCATCTCTGCCCACTGTCATGCTATAACATTGCCAGTAATTCGTGCCCTTTGTACGAAAATACGACGCTGTTTATGCGCAATCTGCTCGACGAAAGATCCTCGAAAGTTGCTCAGCAGGATTTATTTTATATTTCGCGAAAGGTTACCATAGCGACCGTACGAATCTTCCGCATTAAAAAGATTCTCCACCGTCTTGTAATCTCACAGCCGGTACTCGCCGTATTATTAGTATCCGAGATTTATTATCAGCGTTCTACATAGCTTCGCGATTATCCTTGACTCGACCAGACGTCTGATAATTCCTACGCCTCGGAGTTCATTCATTTTCCCATCGATTAACCGTTTTAAATTACCTCGACCGATCTGCCACGGCATCGCGCTTGTATAATCCACGGAGAGAAGCTGTACCGTCGGTTACACGGCGTCTATTTTTATTCCTCGAGGAGTTATTCGTTATCCGCGGCGCGTAACGTGTCGGCGTCGCGGTCCGTTCGATCGCACCTTGGGTCTATCCTCCAAGGTCCGCGATTACGCTTTTCAAGCGTTTAATTACGGGAATAATGGCGACTCGTCGGCTCGAGCCTTGGGATTCGGTTGCAAGGTCGCGCTAATCCGTGCCCACATCGAACGATCGTAAAGATCCAACGATTACTGTCCAATCTGGATCCCCCGAGCCGACACCGCTTTCAATGAGAATTTATTTCGCGCGTCTCCTCGCTCGATCCGTCTCTTCCGCGAAACGGAACGTCGTCCGCGAGATCGCAGACGATAGGAGACTTAATTAGTTACGTCAGCCTGCTAAGACGAATCGAGGAAAGAATACGAGTCGTACAGCCGCAGCTCGTAACGCTCCAACTTCCCCTCGAAACACCCTCTCAGTTTCCAACTCCCCGGAGTACACGGTCCCCCCCGTTTCGAGCGAACACGGACGGCACAACGGGCTGCCAGGAATCCGCAAAGTTCATTGTTCCTCTTCCGCGTCATTAGCTCGCTTCCGCGACCCGGTTCCGCCTCTAATTACGTCCTTACCTGTACCTGTACCGTGTTCCATCAAATCCCGCGTGGTTGGTTTCGTCACACGAGGATTGCGTACATCTGCTCCTCGAGCATTGTTCCTCGAGCACACCGGTTCCCGAGCGCGCAGCGATGGGCGTCGAGACTCGAGTTCTCTGGCGAATGCTACACACGCGTCGCGAACTCCGCTCGGGAACAGATCCAATAATTTGTCCGAGGAATTCTTCCGTGGAATCTGGTCTTCCCTCGCCTCGTGTGTGTGTGTGTGTGTGTGTGTCCACTCTCGTCGCCCGAGCGAACCGGCTGGAATTCGAGGGGGGAAGAACTCGTCGATCCGGACGGGAAATGGAGAAAAAATGGCGACCACGGTGCAGGAATCGTGCCGGCCTGTTCACGTTGTAAATTGATCTTTATTACAAGAAATTACATGACTAATTTGTACATATAAAATATAAATATGGTACAAGTACTATGGTACAGTAGACGCGTGTGTACGGTAGGTTCTCGTGTGTCCTGTTAGGTATGTGTGCGCGTATGTGTATACTCTGTGTTGTTCCTCGAGCGGGATGATGCGGAGGTCGGTTAATCCTTAATCGTTAATTGCTATGGCGCTATTACTCGTTAAATCGTTTACTAGTCGCATTTCACGGTAGACGGAGTGACGCGCTTCCCTAGCTCGAAGGCAAAACGAAAAGGACCAGGTGGTGGATGAAGAAATGAAGAGGGTGATTCGTGAGAAGACCATTTGGAATATCGAGTATGGCGGCGATCGGTTATTTCGTTGTGAAGCGGAACGCGCGTTCCTCGGCGCGGGAGGAAGGACACGGTTCCCGGAAGGTGTGATCTGGAAGAGGAGATCGTCGCGTATCGATCGAACGCGTTCTCGTACGCGTTTGGAGTCGGTCGCGGGACGAGTTCGGGCTAAACTGAACCGGAAAGAAAGGAGGAATGGCGAAGATCGCGCGAAGGACGACGATCGAAGACGATCGATCATGACGTACGCGTGTACTCGGCAGTGTGGCGGGTTAAGAATAGTCTAGAAACATGGACGAATAGCGTACGGGTTCGTTTAACAACGATACAGGAATCTCGGCTTACGATCGGGCCAATCCGGTAGCTCGGAGAACGATTTTCTCCGCAGCTAACGGGGATCGGCTATCCTGCATTGCTCGGTAAGCATGCTCGCGAGACGTGCAGCCTTGTCCCGCTTAAATGATTAGCCTGAGTCGCCGGAACGCATATCTGACTCGCGATTACCGTCCATGGATACCGTCGAATCCAAATAGATAAGGCTAAATTAGATGCGCGATCGTTCCGGTGTTATTGGCGTCGATCCATAAGAAGATCTCGGAGAGCCGAACGGCCGTGTTCCGTGGGATATAATTTGACGGTATTTATAGACTCTCCGACATCCTCTCTCGATATCCTTAGACGGTATTATAAAATGGAGTTAAGCTGTTAAATTGGCAGTGCGGTATCGGCGGTGCGAGACTGCACATTGCGCGAAAAGCGAAGATGGCGCAAACGACGTATACTTATCGGTATACGCGAAAGGTGGAACGACAGAGACACACGCGGGTGGTTTTCATCGATATCGGCCATCGCGATCACGCCACGGTTCGTATCGGAAAGCTGGAATCTCTCTATTTCTGCCTCGCATTACCGGCATCCCCGATTTATTTTCATCCGATCTATTTCCATTCGCCACGGTTCCTTCCCCCTTCCACGCTCTCCACGCCCACGTCTCTCGTCTCTCTATCCGTGATTCTCGCGTTTAAACTTGGCGTATTCCATCCCGTTCCCTCGGTCTCTCTGCCGTTTATTCGCCACGGGTCTCTCGTCTCACGCGCAAAGAGAGAGCACTCGCGTACCGAGCAACTTTTACGATTACGAATACACGTTTACCGTGGAAAAGTAACACTCTCCCTCGCAGCACCTATTTCTCGGTTACTTTCGCGCTCGTTATCTCATTTCTCTCTCTCTCTCTCTCTCTCTCTCTCTCTCTCTCTCTCTCTCTCTCTCTCTCTCTCTTTCTCGCATTTCCATCGGTTCTCATCTTCGCCTTCTAAAGTGAATTACAGAGCCCTACGAAGTGCGGTAACTGTTGATAACGATTAAAGCTACGATAATATTCTTGAATTAACGTGCGTGCATTAAATACAATGGCTACGACGCGTTTTATCGCCGTTCTTTCCCTCGCCTCTTATCGCGCCAATCGTTTGCCGTACGAAAGGATTCTCTCGCTTCTTTCTCGACGGCACAGTCACCACAGGTGACTACCGCCTCTTTATATCGTATATTTATACTCTTTCTATTTTCATCTTGCTCCGTCTCTCTCTCTCTCTCTCTCTCTCTCTCTCTCTTTATTTCCTCGAATTCGAAATACCGCTTCTTCAGTTTGCGAATCCGGCGTGGTCCAGATAGGTCTGTCCGATCGAAATATTTCGCTTCCGAATCGTCGATCGAGGATCGGCATCCCGTTCATCTCGTTTATCCTCGATTTCCTCGTACTGGAAGCACTCGATGCCCGATCCCCGATCGACCAAACACGCACGGCACGCTGTAACGAGTGCTATCGATGCTGGTCGTGTGTTTCTTAGCGCGTCGGATTACTTGCTCTGGTTGCCTCGGCACCGCTCCTCAAACTTGGCCCATTACGCTACCGGCAGAGCAGTCTCTAGGGTCGAAAGTTCGTGTTTCACCAACGATTCGGTTTCGGTTTCGAATCGAGACCAGGGCAGCGACTCGCTGAATTTACCTAAACGTTGAGTCCTCGACGATCGATCGGTATAAAAATGCAGCACCAACTCGTACGCTAAATTATTTTAAGTCAACAAGTATGCGTCTCGCGTTCTACACGCTATCTCGGCCAACGATCGTTTCAACATCGCTAGAACAGCTTAGAAATCATCGTAAACCTACGGTTCTCCCCGATATCCGAGACGTCTAGGAGCACAGGCAGCAACTGCCTGGCATCCAAACGCGACAAGTTCTCTCAGCTCGTTAACGCGAACGAGGCTTTATCCTCGAGTAAAAGGGGGATGAAAGCTTCCTTACGATCGATCGTTACACGTGCGTAACAATGGCGACGACGATCACGATACGACTAAATTTGTCATTTAACAACTATTGGACGGAGTCGAGCGACATCGTGACAACGATTCCCTTTTCTCTCTCTCTCTCTCTCTCTCTGTCTCTTTCCTAGTCTCTCTCTCCCATCAGCGACCTCGCTCGTCTCGTTTTCTAATCGTTCATACGGCGATCAGTTAGCGATCAGCACGCGGTCGTGCGCACTGATCCAAGTCTAGGTTAGGTGATGCGAATCCCTGTAGACGTTTCCTCTTGCCGCGTGCTCTGTTGCCGTGGGCAGGAGTCGAAACAGGTGATCAATACGACGTGACTCTTGCAGGCTTGCACTCGCTTCTGCAGGATGCACGTTTCTACCTCGAGCGCTTCCAAGAACGACGGATCTCGCCAGTCCATACTGTTCTCCACGTGAACTGTAACAGATGAAAGGTCGTTTCGGTATCAGAGGAACTAGGCACCAGCGTGTGACCAGAAATGGAACTAGAAATGGAAGCAGAGCAAGGTAGCGGAAAGAGGAACTCACGATCGTAACTCCAGCGGGCATCAGGCACCATCAGGCGCCTTTTAGCGTTTCGCAGCTCGAGCCTAAGAAGGCGCTGCCGTAGTCGCAGGTTGTGTATCTTGGACATCGTGCCACGTGGATCCGAGCGCAATCGCGCGCGCCTGTCCAGGATGTCCACGTCCTCGCTTGTGTACGCGAGTATCCCCGGCAGCGCGGATGGCGCCCGTGGCAGATGGGCCCGGCACTGGGCCCGTGACCGGAGCCCGCACTCTGCCACCCGCTGTTCCACCGCTGAAACACCCGCACAACGTCGAGGTTAGAACCCCCAGCGCGCCACCTGAGGAGAACCACCGTACGGAGGGACCATTTTAGAGGGTTTCCACATCGTTTCGATGGGTTGTCAGCTAAACCGTCCACGTTTCTCCGTGGAACGGCCAGATGTCGCTGACACGCATACATTTTCCGCCATCTTCTTCCTAATTACTCGTTTGCCTTTCCTTTATTCTCGCAAGGATCGAAATATCCATCTCGTCAGCTACGACTCGCGCAAAGTCTCCGCAAATAATACGTAATACGAAACGAACGACCATGCGAGCATCAGCGAGGAGGAAAAAGGACGCGTACTTCCGTCGGTCTTTCGAGAACTTTACCAACAGCTAGGTTAACCGAAACGCTGCTGTCGATTTTCCTCTCGATGATGTTTACTCTCCGCCGCGGAGATGGCGGAAAATGTCGGAACAGCGCGGACCAATATCAACTACCTTGGTGCTCTTGAAGAGCTCCGGTGTGCCTGGACGAGTCGCTGGCGATGCTGCTGGTCTCGCTGTCTCTGACTATGCTGTCGTAGCCAGAACTTTCCGCGCGATGCCTAGACAAAGTGGCTGGCGAGAGTTTCGCTGCCCGTGGCGTGGAATCGGCGCCGGAATCGTAGCCTTCCTTGTTCAACACCATCGACGATCCGAGGCTCGTAATTTTACGCTGCATTCGACCCGAGGATGGCGCCGGTGATGGAATCGACAATTGCAATGGCGCTGTCGCTGTAACAAAGTTGCGGCGGCGGCTGGCGTTAGTCACAATACTACACCATCCGACGATACTCGAAGATCGGACGAACGCGTGTGCGACCTCACCTTGAATCTTGAGATCCTCCTCGATGTCCGACTTGCCGGTCACAGTCCTCTCGGATCTCTCGGCAGCCGTGAAGAGTTTCTTCGCCTCGACGTACTCCTCCTCTGGGTCCGAGCCGGAAGCTCCGTTGCCCGGTAGCCTCTCCACCTCTTCCTTCAGATTAGGATTCGAGGCACCGTCGGGATGCCTGAGACTGGAGATGTTGCACTCGCCCAGCTTGCCGCAGTACCTCCTGGGGCTGGCTATGTGGGCCACGCTGTTGGGGTACCAGTAAGAAGCGGTGGCCGGTTTCGTCATGCTCTGGCGGCAGTTGTCGCAGAACTTCTCCTGATCGGACTTGCCGGCGATGTACGCCGGCTCGCTGTAGATGCTGCCGTAATTGCTCGCGTCGTCGTTGAACATCACGTCCGAAAGGGACAAGGACTGACAGCGCGACGGCGGACGGAAGACTGGGGCGGCTGGAATTTGTCCTGCGTTAATGTCATACTTGTTGTAGTAGACCTACGCCGGTTGGCTGACAGTGTGATTTTGTTTTAGAGGACTCGCACGACGATTCTGGACGATACACGACCCTGTCGTTGCCGGTTTCGTTTCGTTCGTATTCCTGCGAGCTGTGGCCGATCGAGGGCGACAGTCTTTTTTCGGTTACGAGGATCGAGAAAGGAGGAAAGTTGGAGCTAGAAACGCAACGAAAGGGTCGGTGACGTACAGAGAAAACAGAGTGGACGGAAAGATCGAGTAGCGTGTCCTCCCGGTCGGGCAAACTTTCGGAAACTTACATGGAGCTTTTCTGACGTTCACGTTCGAGTTCTCCCTCTGATAGGTGACCGAGTTGGAGACGTTTGCGAGCGCCAGTTTACTTTGGTAGAGTTCGTGGAGCCGAGCCAATTGGTCGAACTTGTGCCTGGTCTCTTGCTCCAGGAAGTCCTCGTGGTCGAAGTACGGCCTGGGCAGAACACCAGCGCCGACCGGTGGCGGGTATTGAGGTCTGTATCGTTCCGTGTCCGACATCACCGACATCGAGTCTGCAAATGAATACGCATTTCTTTTTTCCTTTCTGCCTGCCCGGGCGGATGTTGCTTTCTCGTCGATAGCAACGAAACAAATGCTTGGATAAGAAGGACGGAAAGAAAGAAGCGCATTCAGTTGGAAGCTGCCTCTTTTCCGACGTAGCTCCAAGACGGCAAAGTATCGACGAGTAATTATATCGAGCCGCTTCCAATCTCCCTTTCTCTCTTCGCGATCGTTACAATCCTCGAGCTGGCTCCTCTTCTTCCCCGCAATATGATTGTTTCCCATCGGGCGCGCTATATTACCGAGCCCGGTGGATCTAAGAATCGGCTCTCTCCGGAAACAATCTTCCGAGCATTCCGTTCTCGAGTACTCTTGCAACGAGCAGCAGAGACGGAAGACGGGCTGCGAAACACGGCGCGCTATAAACGTCGCGAAAAACCATCGAGGAGAACTCTAAATATTTCCTCGCGAAATACCCCGGTGATCCAAGAAGCGAGGGCGTGACTCGGTGCTCTGCGCAGGAAAGAGAGAAACGTCGGCAAGCTTACTTACCGGTGAACGTCGATACGACGGTGAGATTCTCCTGGCTGAGAATTCTCAAAGGATGCTCCTCCTGATCGCTCTCCGGCAAAGGATTCTCTCCCATGCACAGCGCGATGTCCTCCTCCGTCACTTGGAGGCACGAGTCCTGCATGGGCACGGGTTCCAGATCCTCCACCTCGACGATCTCCAAGATCTCGTCCTCGGAAGACAAGGAGTGTCTGGAAGGAAGCACGATGTCCTTGTGCGACAGGTTCAAGCTCTCCATCGAGACCTCTCTGCTGACTCCGTTGCTCAGTGGCTCGATGAGTGGCAACGGCGGAGGCACCACGATTTCCTCGTCGTCGTCCTCGTCCTCCTGAAGATCCAGCTTCGCCTTGTCCACGCTGTCATCCATAACGGGACTGGCTGTCAGATCCAATCCGGAATCCGTATTAGACTTGACGTTCAGAAGGTTCAGCTTGGCGCCGAGCTTCTCGGTGATGTCCTCGATCTCGTTCGCCTTCAAGCTGTCGCTCTCCACCGTGGACAACGAGGTGTCGTCGTCGTCCATCCCGGAGCACGTCTTGAACGTGGTCAGCTCCTTGAACTGCGACGACTGACCGGACATCTTGGACGACTCGATCCTAGCCGCGGCGTGCCTGCTCTTTTGGATCTGCGACGACTGATTCTCGACCCACTTCCTGATCATGCTCTTCTTGTGGCTGTCCATGAACCCGTAACCGGAGGAATGTTGCTGAGCGTGCATCTGCAAGGTAGGCGGACCGGTCAGCTGCATGGGTCCGTCGATCCAGGTCTCCCTCTTGTGATGAGGATCTTTCAACATGTGTCTGGCCTCGGCGACCTTCGACTTGGAGATCCTGGGACCGTCTATCCACTGCTCGTCCGAGCCTCCGCTGGGTGCCGCGACTGGGATCTTGCTACCCGGCGAATCGTTCACCTTGGACGACATGGAAACCTTGGTCGCCGAGCTCTTCCTCGCTGGACTGGCCTTCGGAGTGGCCGTGTGAGCCGGGGAGGTTTGCTTCGAGGCCGTCTGCGTCAGGGTCTTCACCGCCTTCGTCGACTTGTGTATCGGGCTGCGCTCTTCGGGAATCTTGCAAGGTCTCTCCGCGGCGGATCCTCGCAGCACTCTTCCCATGGCGCAACGATTGTCGCCCGAGTTCAGACTGGGGATGTAAACTGGCGGGTGTTCGCCGTCGGTGGCGTCGTCGGTGCTGGGCCCGACGTAGATGACCGTATCGGCGGACAGGTCGCTGGAGCTCGGGTCGCACTCGCTGTTCTGCCTAGCCGCCTCCTCGCCGGAACTTCCGCCGCTGCCCGTGCCCTGCGTGCCCCCACCGACGAACTTGATCTTCCTCCGCCTCATTCGATGAATGCGAGACGCCAGTTGCACGGTGGTTAGCGTCTCCATGTAGTGCTGAGCGTTGGGGGACACGTGGGCGATCATGGCGGCGTGACACGTCAACGAGCCGAGACACTCCTTCAGTAATTGGGTTAGCTTGTGCTCCTTGTACGGCAGATGCTTCTGCCCGTTGAAGATGGCTAGCAGGATATTGCCTAGTCCGGATAGGGGGATCCCGCCAGAAGACTTGCCGCGATCCGAATTACCCAGGTCCATTAGGTGGAGTCTGCTTCTGCCGCCGGCAACTGGGGAAATTAGGAATATCGGGAAATATATTCGTGCTCCTTTAAAAGATTCGATTATGTCGTCGCGCGGAATCCACGTGCCGGAGTCCTGGAACCCGAGAGATTCGTACGTCACGCGAGAACTCTACTCGAATAAATTGCGTTATTCGGGTCAACGACTCCGAGGGATTCTCCGCGAGAAACAATAGCAGCAATTTCGCGGGGCCGCTGGAAAACCGTGGCCGTGCTCCGTGAACGGAAGCCACTCGAGGTCGAAACAGAGAGCGGAAGAGAAAGAGAGGGATAGGGGGTGAGAGGTTGCAGCTTACGGAGCTCGATGACAAACGTTGTTTACGAGCGGCGACTACGAAGGAGCCGGGAATCGGTGGATGGAAGGGAAACGGAGGCTCACCTCCACCCTTGCCGGCGACGCTGTACTGATAAACGTGAAGGGTGTACAGCATGTGCGCGTCTCCGTCCTCTCGTTGTCGGCCCGCGACCGCCGCGTCCAAATAGAAGGCGGCACGTTCCGCAGTCGGTGCACGGAGCTCGCTGTGCTGCTGCAGCTGCAGGCTGCCGAACAGTGGGTCGTCCCTCAAGTACACAGCCGGCGATTGCTCGGAATCTGGGAACAAAGAGCCGTCGCAAATCACGTTACACGCGTCCCCTGTTACGCCCGCCGCGAGGCTAGACGATAAATAATAACACGTGTCGCTACAGTTTCTTTTGACACGGAAATGCCGTAATAAATACGCTTTCCCCCGCACCGTTAGCACGGGGAATAGTGCACTTTGTAGAACCGTATTATTCCGTGAGGGGAGGGGGGGCACGAAGACGACTGCTCGCGTTGTAACTCAGACGGGATATCGCGCGCGGGACGCGAGCAAATGCAAAGTTACGTGGAAGCGCAACAGACGCTGCTAGATTATAAAGAGGATATAAGAGATACAGGAATGGCGAGCAACCTTTGGTGCTCGCTGGTGTTATGTCAGGGAAAAATAACGTCGCAGGTGGGTGGGGCACGATGATGCAGGTGGACGGTAGTGAGACGCGTAAATCGGCCCCGCCCGGCCGCGAAGTACCCGCGGACCGTCTCGAGCTGAGTTACGACGCCGATAAAACGTCGAAAGATACGCGCCGCGGAGATATCACGGCGCGTTATCACGGATAACTATCGGTGACTGTCGTGTGCGCGGCTATAGCCACGGGTCTCTGCGCGAATAATCAACGTAATGCGGAACGAAGCTGTAAATAGTGATCAACGTAAAAGCACTGTGTTACTGCCTCGTCGAGAGTCCGTGGGTATATCGCGAGCATCGTCGTACTCCTTCCCGCTATCGCGGGTTTCTTCGAAAATATATCTCGCGAGAGGCCTCATTCGGCGGATGAAAAGTTCCGAGTCGATATCGCCCGGTGATAGACCTCTCGTGAAACGGGCCCCGTGGACCGCGCGAGCATCGGCGATAAATTCGCGACATCCCGGTGGCAGAAAAATTTTATCGCTCTCGCGTTGGAGAAAAAGGATTTCGGGAGTTCGCGTAATAACACGCGCGCGCCATCTGATCAGCTCGTAAAACAGCGGCGTTTTATGTACAGCCTCGCCGGTGACATATTGCCCGCGCGTCTTAAAAGGAGCTTCCGAGGCGAAGCGACGCTGCAGTAGGAAAAATTCCAGAGACAACGATCGTTACCGTACGTCTATCGGTTGTTCGCGTGCGCGTCTATGGGAGAGATCGTAAAATCTTCCTTCCCTCCGATACTCTCGCGGACCGGACACGTTTCGTGATTCCACTCGCTTCGAATTCGCGGATTCGTCGGGCAAATAGGGGAGTAATAGATGCCAGCGATTGCGAGTACGGATCTCGCGAGCAGTCCTCGGTGATACGATGCCTCGATAATCTCCTTGTCGAATGGTCCAATTATCATTTTACTACCTCGCAAACTCGTGCCTGGTATCGTAAAAGGCAAGGGTGGATCATCGGTGCTGCTCGTATCGTTCGCCATGTCTCTTCTCCGTCCCCCTTTTACGACGCCTTCTCGCCGGAAATCGTGTACACTCGAAACGTCGCGAGACGTTATCGAAAAATCAAAATCCGAATACGACAGTGGCCGAACCCATCCCCGAGGAGATGCGAATTTGCGAATTTCGCGAGAGGAGAATACTCGCTTGCGCGGTAAAAGAGCGAAACGAGGCAAGCTAACGAAAGCGGGGGGACGTTACCGCGAGGTGGTGGTATTTTCTCTCGGACGTATTAATGCGGCGGAGGCGTGGCAATATCCATAAAAGGGACAGGAGAAAGTAATATTGTCGGCATCTGCGCCGCGTGACGGTGGTTCGCAACGACGGAAGAGGCAATGGGAAAGGCACGCCGCGTGGTGCAACTCCGTGGAAATAGAACGCCGATCTTCCGCGAGAGAGACTCTCCGGAATATGGACGCGTGCGATGGATACGCTCCGCGATCTCTCGCCACCGCCATCGGACGCCGTCGAACCCCTTCGAACCCCTTCGAACCCCTTCGAGGGGGTCGAGGTTGCGGGATAAATCGTTTTTCGACGCGTTTCGAATACCGCCAGTCCTCGGCCAATCGGCTCCCCCTCGAGGGTGAACCTGTCGAAGGGCAGTGAAAAAAATCTGTTTCCGTCTTTTCGAATGACCGAGACCGACGAGACTGTTTTCCCAAATGCCTCGTACGCTGGGCCAAACGGTTTACCATTCTTGCGGGGAAACGGGGTGCGAGAGGTCGGTATAGGGCGGCGGGCTATTAAAGGGGCTAAAAATAGAGTAAACGGCGAAGCGTTCGAACCGAAGCGTAATGGTGGTTCTCCATGGGGAGTAGGAAACGGGAGAGGACGACGCCTTAAACTTACTATCCCGGCTGTGAGCGGAAAATCAAAGCCAAGCCATAATCATCGGCGGCCACGTCGACCGGAGTATCGGTCGCGAACCGGAAACCGTGGAAGCGGTAACTCGTCGAGAAGATAGATAATAACTAGTAACGCAGCTTTTCCTCTGTGATTTTCTCAGCAACGATCCAGCGACGATCCAGCCGCCATTAGAATTTTCATCCACGCATAACAGCGACCTTTCGCGTCCTTGATTAAACGAGTTACGCGTGCGGTGCTTCCTCCGTGCTGCAAGAAACGGAGCGAAAACGACGTGGAGAGGACGAAGCTTTAAATTTACTCTCCCAGCTGTGCGCGGAAAATCAAAGCCAAACCACGATCTCCCCGGTTATCCAAGTCTTTGTTTTCTTCCATCTTCGAGCAGACGAAATCGATAATCAACGGCGGCCACCATATTGACCGGCGTATCGGCCGAAGCGGTAACTCGTTGTTGAGAGGATCCGTAATAATTCACGATGCAGCTTTTCCCCTGTGATTCGCTCGATGACGATCTAGCGCCATGATCCCAGTGGTCATCGGCATTTTCATCTACTCCTAGCGGCGACCTTTCGCGTCCTGGTGTAAACAGGTTACGCGCGCAGTGCTTCGTTCGTGCTGCAAGAAACGGAGCGAAAAGGACGCGGAGAGGAGGAAGAAAATTAACGAACGCCCAGGATCCCGGCATTAAAGTGGAAACAGTAGCGGGAGACGTGCTTTACGCGGTCGTACGTTCGCCGAAATAAGTGCGCGTCGCGGAGACCACCGGCTCACTGTTTCTCCTCATCCTCTTCGTCCTCCTCGTCTTTCTCAGCGTCTCGCGGGGGCGTGCATCAGCGGCAACAGAGGCGGTGGCGATGGGAAGCAAAGGGCCGCGCGCTGTTTCAGGTAGCGGCGTGAGTAGAAGAGGTCGTGGGTCGCGGAGACTCCGGATAGAGCCGGAGGGAACCACGGGGAAAGCTCGTAATAAGCGACTGCGAATATTCGTCCGTCGCAAAAGTCGGTCCCGTCTTGACTATAACTCGAGGATCCGTAGGGAGACGCGCGCGGCCACGTTTCGCGTATTTTTCCCACTCGGAGAAAAGAAAGGGGAGGAGACGGTCGGAGAAAGTTTTCTATAAATCATTTCTCGCCGTAATAAGCACGGGAATGCTCATTTAGTCGTTAGCGTTATTTATACCGCGCGTATAAATTGCCCGGTACTTTTAATTCGACCAACCCTTCGTTCCATACTCGCGGACTTGTTAGTTCACCCTCCTCGATCGGCAACCTGGACGTGTCGCCGATCGGTCCAAGTGCCAGGTCGACGGGAAAAATCGCACAATCGAATTTCTCGATGAAACACGCGCGCCTCGCTGCCCCCGAGAATTTCTCCCGCGCGAGCATTGCGAACAGAGGCATATCGAATGAAATCTCGCGAAAGGGGGATGCCGGATAATGGAGACGCCGCCGCCTCGCGAGTCTGCAACTTTTCCCTATTCCGTCAATCCACGGAACGGCCATTAGAATTAACTTCGCGTGTTATTCTTTCATAAGGTTTTCCCTCCGCGTTACTATCCGGGGTAGTTTCGTTCGAACCTCGCGATATTTTCCGTCTCTCGTTTCCCGGCTCTCGATCCGCCGCCTCTATTTCGATCTCTACACACCGTGTCCGTCTAATTGCATTTTTCCTTCGCCTTCTATTTCGCCGCGGCTAAATCGCTATCTCCCGATCCACCGATCTACCCCGCCAGGGTAATTATGTTCCGTAACTCGGAAAATCCTTTGGCGCCGTTAAAACCGGGATTTCTCGTAACGAAGAGATCGGCGGACGAGATACGCGCGAGAGAAACGACGCTGCAGCTTCGGAAATCGGGAAAGGTGGAGATGGTGGAGATCCTCCTTGGAAGATTCCGGATCGACGTGCGAGTCTCGTTCGATCCGGAAACGCCCCGCGCTGCGCGTTTACGACGGGAGGAAAAATGATTACCGACGTAAACCAACAATTTACTTTTCGGCCGAGAGCGAGCGAGACCGCGCGTCATTAAACTTTCAAGTGACGAAGCGAGGAAAGCCGTCGTTAACGGAACGATCTTCAGTTTCTGCTGCTCGCACAGCCGAGGGCCGGAGCATGGCCCATTGCGCGCTGCCATTTGCTCGGCAGCCAGCCGGTACGTAAGACGACGATGGTTTTCTTTAATTGCCAACCGCACGGTAGATCCCGCTTCGTATCCCCTCGTAAAAGTTACCGTCTCTCCGCTAAACGATTCGTCCCGGGCACTGCGAGAATGGGAAGCCGGTTTTACGACGAATATAACGTCGGCGATTGATGAATCCTCGAATCCGGTGGGACGCGAAAAATTATAATTACGCGGATAAGAGCGTACGTTGGACGAATCTAATTAGCCGATCGTGCGACGGAACCCGGAATGGAGTGCCAATGAGTGGAAGGAGTAAAGCAACCGATAGTCGTAAACGTGCAGCGTCGCGACGCGTTTCCAAGGGAAATACAGGCGGAGATGTTTTCGACCGCAGCAGATGCACCGTTGGTTACATCCCCGACTCCGTCTATCGATCCCCGTATACTTTCCGCCGTGTATCGAAATGCAAACACGCGGCTTCGAGGTTGTTTAATCGATTGTTTCGGTCAGCAGGCAAACAAATGGATATTAACGAATAATTCGCGGGATCGAGGCGCCGTGCCGGAGTGGAGCCCGATGGGAGCAAGGCATCCCGGAATTCCTCGTGCATTTGCAAATGAAACAAGCTCTCGGCCGTGCGGAACACGTTTCTTTATATTTGCACCGGGGTACAAGGGATGATATGTAACGTTGGCCGTAATCGAATGAAAATTCCCTACGCGATTCCCGAGCGGACGGAGGGAAATAAAAATTCCCGTAGTTCTCCTTTCAAACCCCGATCGATCCGCCGGCTTCCGTTCCAAGCATTCCGCGGAACAAAACGAAAAGGAGAACGCTCCCTACCATATGCGTTTTATACGCGTTACGCTAAAAGCCGCGTGCTCCAGTGACGCTGCAGCTACGACCACCACTGCCGACGCCGTTTCCTCCATTATTCTCTCCGCCCTCGTCCTTATCTTCTCCTTCTTATCCGCTTTACGCGCGAACCAACGGAGAAATATAAAACAATAACCGTGGCGCGAGTCACGACGAAAGTTATTGCGAGCCGGCGTTTCCTCCGCTGCTCGTCTCGCTGCCGCGAGAAACCCGGCTCGAAAAATATCCCGGAAAATATTTTCCTTCCCCGCCGCCATTGAAATGCACGCGACCGCTTAAAAACTCGACGGGGTAGGTACCCCGTTCCCGGCGCGCCTCACCCTCGTCCGCGTTCCATGCCGAGCAAACGTGCCTCTTCCTGCGAGCCTTCCTGCGAACCAGAACGATCGTCGCGGGGGTATTCGAGGATCGAGAGGCAAATAGAAATCCGTCGAAAATGGCGCGGAAGTAAAGGTTGACTAAAGTGGGCCGAGGGTGGAAAGAAACAAAAGTAAATTACCGCAAAGACGGAAGGTATTTCGTGCCTGGTCTTTGGCTCTCGCTCTCTCCGGCTCTTTGCTTCCCGGCACCCGAGAGCCGTCGAAAACTTTAAATAATTACCGAGGCCGGGATTATCGAGTTGCCCGGTAGAAAAGGCGAAGTTGGAGGGTGTGTCGGGCGAGGGAAACGGCGTCGGGACGCTTTCGGTGCGCCAGGCGACGAGGCGGGGACCCGGCCAAGTCGAAAAGAGACAAAGTACGCAGTCGAACGTTTCTGCGGAAACAACTCGGTGTGCGAGTTAATTATTTAATAAGCTGGAAAATTAATTGCGCCGCGTCTTACTCGGTTAACGTCTTTCGGCAAAGCGGAAAGAGTCTCTCCCTCTCTCGTTAAGACCCAGATCCGTGCGCGACTTTCCCGGAAAGACGGCGGGTTTCCGGGCTGAAATCGGCACGAAACTTCTGCCTTGGGAACGCGAGGCGCGCGCGCGCGCGTGTATGCGTGCTGCTTTTCCAACGAACAACGAGCAAAATACTCGGGGAAATTCCGCCTCTCGAAATCCAGCCGGTCTTTCGTCGCGACGCTTTCGAAACCGGGACGAAAGTTAGGCCCCTCGCGAGGACGCTTCCCATCCCTCATCATCTGCGCTCGAGATCCGTTTTTCCGCTCGGGGATGTAAATTAAAGGCGTGTCGCTGAAAGCACGCGAAACGAGCGAAAAAGGATATTGGTACCGGCTGGCAGACGCTTTGGTCTCCGTGCGTGGCGACGTTCGACGCCGCAGTTTAATATGCCACGTTCCAACGCGGCACGCGACTTCTGCGTTAATGTCAGCTGCGAAATTTACAACGATTCTAAACCCTTCGAGATTATGACCCTTTCGCGTTTATCCTCTTTCACGGCACGATCGCGATAACTTCGGTTACATTGTACGCCGTGAATTGTTTCTTAATGCACCGCGTGCTGCCCCCGTGGTCTTTTTAATTTTCAACTTTAGACTCGAACGCACCGTCACCCACGCGGCTTCTCTTAACGATCATTTTCACGAGCGTTTAAGTGGCCGATAACGACTCGATCCTATGAAACGGAGGAAAAAATGACCGTAAAGTATTCCACGTTGATACATTCCCTCGATAAGCGGAGGAATTCCGGGGCCGGGGAATTTGATTCTTCCTTTAGCTAATTATTTCCATCGAGCACGGAACGTCCACGAGAGGACAGAGAGGTGCTCTCTTCTCCCTCGATATCGAGAGTCGAACGAGATCGCGAAACGAGAAGAGTGGTCGTAGAAGGTTAATTTTCAGAGGTCGCCGAGGAAAGCTCGTTCCTCATGCTCCCCGACTTCAGCAGAGTTCCCATAAGTGCACCACGGCAGCAGAGGCTCCACCCTTCGGTTTCTTATTAGTCCTCCGAGTTGTTCCCCGCAATTCTTCCTCGGCCGGGAAACAAAGAGCGAGAACGGGGCGGAAGAGCAGCGAGGAAGGACAGGACAAAGAGAAAACGAGGGAGGGAGGAGGGTGGACGAGAAATAATCTTACCCCTCAATTTTACGGACCACCGAGTGGACGAGGTGGTCCGTGAAGACGGAACCAAATGACGACCAGGACGATTCTCGTCCCGTTCCCTGCATATTACCCGCGGAATCTACGGACGCGAGTGGTCGGGACGAAAGAGAGGAAAAACACAGGGCAAAAACGGGAAGCAACGATTTCGTTCTTGCGGATTTTCGACCGATGACTCTCGGTCGTGTTATTAGGGGCCATTTCTTGCCGGTCCACGGAGTCTGCAGCCGGTCTCGAGCATCGTCTCGCCAGCTAGCGAGCTGCTGTATCGAGCAGATGGAATACGCGATTTTCGGATGTAATTTCCCTCCCAACCGCCGAGTTTTTACTTTATCGTCGAGGCTGCGCGTTTAAAGCGGTACCGAGCTCCCACGATTCCGCCCACGATTTTCTCTTTATCGATGCAATTTACATCCACCACGCTCCCGCTATGGCGAATTCACTCCGCGTCTTGTTCTTCCTGGATCGATAACTTGCCCGAATTTTTAGTACGCCCGCGTTACACCGCTCGTACGAATTTTTACCCCTTTCCGGGAAATAAAGGAATGGAAGAATGGGTCCCACGTTTCGAAGTTCGTATCTCGAAAAATTGGATCACCTACCATAGTTGTATTTGATATCGTAGACTACCGAAAACGGGTTTTATTGTCCTCGGAATATAGGAATTAAATATTTATATGTTCCTCCTTTGATCGAAAGAATATCGGGGTCTGTGGACAGAACGGTTTGAGACGTTGAACTCGGAAACTAATTTAACGCAAGAAAAGAACACTAAAATAACGTAACACTGATTCGACTCTCTCCAACATCGAACGATCTATTTCTACGAGGTGTCTTCCATGTTTCTTCGCTCAGGACTCTTCCTATGTCGTCAAGGGTCCTGTTTTTATGCTCTTCGCAAAGCTCAATGGCGTGCTTTCTCCAATCGCTAATTGGCTGATACGAGTCAGCCCATTTATGATCAGCTCCCATAAAAAGCACGTCACTTTCCGGATTCGCGATTACGATTTCGTTGACCTGCGTTTCACCTCCACGTAGAGATCGCGCAACTTACAATAGCTTTGCTGTCAACAATAGTCTTTCATAACGGTATCTGTCTCGATTTGCTTCTGTTGTAGTAAAATTAAATAGTAAAGTAAATTCTACATCTTAACGATGAGAGGGCGATCCCTTCCTCTGCGTTTTGTCTTTTGTCTCCTGTTTTCTGAAGACGTCCTGTGACCTACGTGGCCCTAAATAGGCCGGTCGGCCGTTCAATAAAAATCTATACAGCTTTTTCCACCGTTTCCACTGATTACTATTCCCTTTGCGTTATAACCTCTTTAACAGCCTCTAGAAAAATGTCACACATAAGTCATCGATCAGTTTCTAATTTGTTTTTGCTAAAATAAGAAATCCCGAATTTCTTTTCCGAAATAGTATCCCACGATATTAATATTAACGCGAGGTTGTAGAAGCGCGCGCGCAAACGAGCAGACAAGGGAAACGACGTTCTGAAAATTAGATCGAATCCAAGCAATCAGTTTATCGACGGGCCAGCAGCGCAGGACAATTCTCTTCGCTGCGCCCTGCACTCGGCACTAATTAATCCAAAACGATTGTACCTGCCCGCATTGTTCCAGGCATCGAATTAATTGCGGCCAACGTTCAACCCTATCGCGCAGAACCCGAGGAAACTTGCAACCCCTTCGCGTTTCGTTATATACGTACAACGAATACGCGTATATAGTTATACAGCAGCGTATAGAGATCCAAGACGATCCTTTTATAGACGTTATAGCGAATCGTCCGTAGGGTGGATCTCTTAAAACCGGTGGAGGGGTGGGCAAGCTCGAGACAAGTGTTTCTTACGACTCAAGTTTCTTCGACACGCCGCGAACACAATGCTATCGCGATCGAGAGCGGCGTCGAAACGAGAAAACTTCGACGCCGGTGCAGAGATTACGTTACAAATGTTGCGCGCAATTTGTAACCGGAACTCCACCCCGCGTCCTGTGGCCACGAGCTTTCTCCGGCTCGGTTCAAACTTGGGTGATTCGGATGACGAATGGACGTGTCCGCGTCCGAATGGATAGATAACTACACGGGTTTCCGATGTTTCTTACCAACTTGCCGGAGAACGATCGCGAAACGTGGTAGGGGTAATCGCTTTTTATCCGACCAACTGCATTTTCTCGTCACCAGCTGGCTATCCGCGCGCCAGCTAGACGACACATTCCCTCCATCCACTTGGTATTTACTCACCGTTGGCATGAGCCGCTAGCAGATCCCTGAGCTGTTGTTGGCCGGTGGTTAATTCCACGCAACTGACCCTCACGCTGAATCTGGCCCCCGTCCTCTGTCGCTGCTCCGATATTCCACGAAACAGCCAGGCGATCGCGCACGGGATCGCTCCTAAGGTGTGACCGGCCTCAGGTGTGCCTAGCATCGTGTGCGACTTGCCTGAAAGGAGACGAAAATTTTCACCTCGTGGTAAAGGAAAAATTCACGTGGATCGTACCCGGGATTCTTCGCCACGGTAATTTAAATCGGTGGAAATCGGCGGAAATGGCGGAAATCCCGTTGGTTCGATTGAACGGAAGCCACGGAACAAACAAGCGGTGCTCGCGATTGATTTCCCTCGCTTTTCGCGACCACGTGTCGCCGCGAAATCGATTCGCACACGGTTACCCTTTGAAAACGCAGCGACGATGGATCGACGGGAAATCTGCCGATCGACGTCGAGCGCAACAATCGCGACGCCTGATTTGTGGTCCCGGTCGGCGACAATTAATTTGTTTACTATTTACCGGAGCGCCATGGGAAACGAGAGGCACGATAAACGCTCGATCATAGTTACGACGCGTAACGAGGCCCGTCAGCGGCGATCTAATTTATACGGCGGATAGATTGGAACCGATTAATTCGGTTACCATTACAAGTCCACGGCTTTCACCGGTGACAGGTGAAACGAATGTAATCGAGAATGGCGCCTGCTTTATGGCCTCAAACGTCGGTCGTTATTTATGGACGAGTCGTTAGAAGGAAATTATTCGAATGCCCGCGTTGAAAGAACGCGTATGGAAAACGGGCATCCGGGACCTGTCTGGCCGGACAATGCCAGTTGCCATTATCGGTAACTGATATCCAACCTTTCCCTCCGAGTTTCCCCGCTTTTCCATCGTGTGTATATATAGAAACCTGCCGAAGTACGCGACACTCCGCTAGAATAAGCATTCTTCGTCCGCTTTCGAGGGCGAAACTTTGGAATTCAAGGCGCCAACTCTGCGGGCCAAGGGACATCGCCGATAGGGAAACGAAAGAGTCTTATTAAAATCATAAAACAATACGGGCGCGGCGGGAGCGCGGAGCCGAAAAAAGCGAAGAAAAGACAGGGGAGAAAGGGGCGGACGAAAGCGAGGGACGAACGGAAGTAGAAACGACGGGAATCGAAAGCGAAAGGCGTAAGGATGGCAGGGGTGGGTTCTCCCGTTGGCTGCCGGCAGCGGCGAAATAATGGGAAAGCACCGGCAGCCGTCGCTGAATCTTAAACGTTATTTAATTGTTTTAACGTAAGACGATGAATTATGTTGTTATTTAATTAGAAACCGGCAGGAAGGGCCAACGTTCCCAGGCATTCTCCTCCGAGTCGACTTTCCGCTCAGATCCCGCAACCCTTAACGCGGATTAACCGTCTCCGTTGTTCCCCGAAACGGGAAACTCCGCGCGCGATTTCGCGTTTCCAGAAATTTCCATGACCCTCCACGAATCTTTCGCGTATCTCTCGACGCTGATTCTCGTCGACGGGTTCGACGACTGGGTCCGTGGAAAGGCGGAAAAATTCTAGAAGAAGCCGGAGAGAAACGGGGAACCGCGACGCGGAAATCTGCAGCGCGACATTCGCGTACGAGCGCTTTAAAGCCGATGCATCTACCGATTGAAATTCCCCTCGAGTTCACCTCCGTCACGCGGGAAAGAGAATCGCGTCTCGTACAGTCGATTACGCGAACAGTCGTCGCGAATCGCAACCCCAGCTCTCTCCGTCTCAGCGTCTTCGCAACCCTGCCTTCGCCTCTGCCTCGCGTTTAAGACCGAGCATGTCAGACGTGGGCTATCGGAATTCTCCTAAAAGAAAACGATATAGACGAAACGGTGGTCTCCATCCGCGAATCGAAGCGATTTCGTTTTGCTCTCGTTCCTCGCGAATTTTCATCGCGATTTTTCACCCCGATTTTTCGCCTAACCGCGGACGATGATCGTCGTTGGAAATGATCGACGAAATTGTTCGCAACGTTTGAAAGCGAATTGGACCTGACCCGCGATAAAAACGTAACGCGAATCATCTTATCCCAGGTATAATTGTCGCGAATCGCAACACCAAGTCTTCGTCTCAGCATCTCCGCAATCCTGCGTTCGCCACTATCTCGCGTTTAACACTAGGTTTACAGACGCTATCTGTATACCTATTTCTAAGGACAACTGTCAAATTAACAGGCAAAGGAAACCACGTGCCTTTTTCTTTTAATGATTGGTTTAATTTAAAAATAGTTATATATTATATTAACAGTCATAATACAAGTTAACTAAATCTGTTACCACCGTATAATTGGAACAATCCTTCCGTCAAATTGACGAGTTCCGTAAATCTAGTGTTAAGACCGAACATGTCAGACATGGGCTATGGGAGTTCTCCTGAAAGAAAACGATATAGACGAAAGGGTGACTTCCATCCGCGAATCGAAGCGATTTCGTTTTGGTCTCGTTCCTCGCGAATTTTCATCCCGATTTTTCATCCCGATTTTTCGCCTAACCACGAACCATGATCGTCGTTGGAAATGATCGACGGAATTGCTCGCATCGTTTGAAAGCGAATTGGGCCTAGCCCATCGTATTCCGAGTATAATTGTCGCGAATCCCAACCCCAGCTCTCTCGGCCTCAGCGTCTTTGCAACCCTGCGTTCGCCACTATGTCGCGTTTAAGACCGAGCATGTCAGTCGTGGGCTATGGGAATTCTCCTAAAAGAAAACGACGTAGACGAAAGGGTGGCTTCCATCCGCGAATCGAAGCGATTTCGTTTCGGTCTCGTTCCTCGCGAATTTTCATCGCGATTTTTCACCCCGATTTTTCGCCTAACCGCGGACGATGATCGTCGTTGGAAATGATCGACGGAATTGCTCGCATCGTTTGAAGGCGAATCGGGCCGTGTCCGCGATAAAAACGCAGCGCGAATCATCGTATCCCGGTATAATTATCGCGAGTATTTGCATGTCAAAGGGGCGAGCGACAGGCTCGCGCGTTCTTCGCCGGCTCTCTTCTCGTTTTGTTGGTTAATCTGCTTTCTCAGTGGTTTCTCGCGGTAAAAGGGTTCGACAGCGTGTACCTTAAGGGCTGCGGCTGATGCGGAGTAATTAGCACCGCGTTACAAAGTACAAAAGGCCGCATTGTCTGGCTGTCATGCAGGGAGCGCGCTGCCTCGTCCTCTCTCCTCCGTCCGCCCCTTACAATTTTCTGTACGACAAATCCCGTTGCTTTCAAAGGGGCCTGCCAGCCGTAGTAGTCGTTTCGTAGTCGTTCCTCTCGCTTTTTTCTTCCTCGCGTGCTCCATTCCTGTCTCGCGATCTCGCCTCGAATCGCGAGAGCGCGCGTCGTTGCTCCGCGCGAACAACGCGGCCGGAGGACGAAGAAGCACGCGTGTAACTCGCGTAAGATCGTCCGAGCTCGTTCGATCGCTCGCGCCGCGTGTAAGCTCCTTCTTCTCTCCTCTCCTTGCCCTTTTCTTTCCCTCCCCGCCTCGTCCCGCCTCGTCTCGCCGCGCCTCGCGGACTTCACCTCCTCTCTGCTTTTGTCCCGCGCTTCGCCGTGCCCCTCTCCGTGTCAAAGCAGCAGGAAGCGACGAGGTAAAGAGTTAGGGGAGTCCGGCTACAAAGAAAGGGGAGGAACAGAGGGGTAGAGGAGTGACACACAGACGGAAAGAGAAAGGGAGAAAAGTGCGTTGTCGTAGCGATGATCAAAAGCAGTTTGCTCGCGGACTTGCCTCAAGTATCTTCGGCGGAGGCGCGAGGGGATGAAAGTTCGTCCGGCTTTCTTCCACGTCTTTCTTCTCTCGCTTTTCTTTATCTCCTGCGCCCGAGACGCGACTTTCTCCCTATCGATCGTCCCTCGTGAAAAATTACGCTCGATTCCAACGGCAATTCCAGCCGTTCGATCCGCCGCGATGCCCGATATCGACCGTGAAAACGCGATCCCTTCCGTTCGGCTAACGAATTTCGTTGGAAAGCGAGAAACGAGGCGATTCGCGAAATTTCCAACGGTTCACGCTCGGTACCTCCGAGCAATGCCGGTGGATATACAAGCGGCAGAGCATGGCGGCGAGGTTTAATCGGTCTGTTCGCGTGGCTTGCCATAAATCCGCCAGCACGGAAGTTATTTCCGTTGAAAGTACAGCGAGACGTAGCGAGGATAATCTCCGGTGTGCGTTAAGATTCGAAAGGTCGAAGAAGGGCGAAGCACGGGGCGAACGAGAGGAAGGGAGAGGGCGCGAGAAAGCTCGTGTCCCAGTAGCATACATTATCTCGTTTCCTTTCGACTCCACCTTTTCGTTCCTCGTTCTCGCCTCCGTCAGCCCCTCTTCGTCCGCTTCCTCCGCCGACCCAAGAAAACCTTCTTCCCCTCGGTTTCCTCGCATAATCACGCATTTGCATGCAAACTCGATATCACTACTTAAAATGTAAAACAACTCGCGCGAGTCCCGCCCGCCGTCGCTTCCTCCCTCGCCGCTTCTTCCAGAACGATGAAAAGCGAGCGGCAAACTGCCGGTGAAAATGGACGCTGTGGCGCAACGGCAAGGAACGTGTAAATAAGGAATCGACGTCGCGACAGGTTCACCTGGCGAATGGCTAATTCGTGGCCGGAAATAGCCTAGACTCTCGACGAAGCTCCCCGAGGGAGGCAACCCGAGTTGCCAACGATGGCGCAGTGTCCTTCAATTATCGACCGACGATTAACCCCTTCGCTTGCGATATCGCGTGAAATTTTGGTAACACGATTGGTCCAAACGCGAGCATAACGAGTGAGAGACGTTGGTCGTAGATGCTACGTAAACATCAATGGTGAGATTCGTGGTTAACTCTTTGCACTCGAGAGGTGACCTCAGTCACCATTTAATCAGATTTTAAAGATCGACGTTAATTCATATATCAAATTTAAAATTGCCTAACGATGCGTGGAATGTGGAAGAAAAATAATTCTACGTCTTAATTTGCATATGATTTCTCGTTTACCATTTTTTAAAAAATATCGTCGACTCTATGACAGAAAGTTTTCGAATTACTATTTTTCTGTAACGAAAAAGTCGTCGAGTGCAAAGGGTTAATTTTCGTCCGTGTCTTTGTGTTTCAGTTACGCGTTAATTCTTCGACGCGTTCGGACCGAGATTCCTCCACGTGTGTTCAACATTGGCGCCGAGTGTGGCACCCCCCATCGCGACATAGATGGTAATGTAAGAACTTAATTATTATAGGATTTTTCTCTCTTATTTATGTAAAAAAATTAGCTCACCACGATATTAGTCGAAAATGTCAATATAATTGAATTTTTCTGTCAAATCCTACTGGAATTGTAATGGCTACAACAATTCAATAGGATCTTTCTCTCTTATTTATGTAAAAAAATTAGCTCACCACGATATTAGTCGAAAATGTCAATATAATTGAATTTTTCTGTCAAATCCTACTGGAATTGTAATGGCTACAACAATTCAATAGGATCTTTCTCTCTTATTTATGTAAAAGAATTAGCTCACCACGATATTAGTCGAAAATGTCAATATACAATGTAATGTAATTAGATAATAGTTATTATGGAAGTAACACGATGGAAATAAATAGGTATATGCGTAGGTTTGGATAGGTTTTTGGATGAGTTTTGGATTGTTTGATAGGATGGTTCGATATAGGGAATATTTCGTTTCTTGGCTTGTAATATAACGCGAAAGTCGTAAGAAAATCGAGTCAAATATGAGGGACACCGGTGAGAAGCATGATTTATACGTAGGACTGAATATAAACATCGCAGGTTAGGCTCGTCGTAAATTTTCGCCGATGTCTTTCCGGCTCAGTTCCGTGTTGTTCTTCGACGCGTTCGGACGTGTGTGCGCGGCGTGTGACCATGGCACGCACCATCGCAGCATAAATGGTAAGGTAACCACTTAAATGTAGTGTACTTAGATAATAGTAATTATAAAAGTCGCGTAATAGAAATAAATACTTGTACGCGTTCGTTTAAATAGGTTTGTGAGTGTTTTAAATTGTTAGGTCGCATAGTGCGTTATTGGGAGGATTTAAATGTAATATACATAGATAATAGTAATTATAGAAGTCGCGTAATAAAAATAAATAGGTGTAGGCGTTCGTTTAGATAGGTTTGTGAGTGTTTTAAATTGTTAGGTCGCATAGTGCGTTATTGGGAGGATTTAAATGTAATATACTTAGATAATAGTAATTATAGAAGTTGCGTAATAGAAATAAATAGGTGTAGGCGTTGGTTTGGATAGGTTTGTGGGTGTTTTAAATTGTTAGGTCGCATAGTGCGTTATTGGGAGGATTTAAATGTAGTGTACTTGGATAATGGTAGTCATGGAAGCTGCGTAATAGAACTAAATAGGTGTAGGCGTTGGTTTGGATAGGTTTGTTGGTGTTTTAAATTGTTAGGTCGCATAGTGCGTTATTGGGAGGATTTAAATGTAGTGTATTTGGATAATGGTAGTCATAGAAGTTGCGCAATGGAAATAAATAGGTGTACCCGATCGTTTGGATAGATTTGCAGGTGTTTTAAATTGTTGTATTAGATAATGTGTTAGTGAGAGTATTTAAATGTAGTATACATAGGTAATGGCAATCGTGGAAGTTACGCAGTAGAAATAAATAGGTATAGACGTTGGTTTGGATAGATTTGCAGGTGTTTTAAATTGTTGTATTAGATAATGTGTTAGTGAGAGTATTTAAATGTAGTATACATAGGTAATGGCAATCGTGGAAGTTACGCAGTAGAAATAAATAGGTATAGACGTTGGTTTGGATAGATTTGTGGGTATTTTAAATTGTTAAGCCGAATAGTGCGTTATTGGGAGGATTTAAATGTAGTGTACTTGGATAATGATAATCGTGGAAGTTGCGTAGTTACGCAGTAGAAATAAATAGGTATAGACGTTGGTTTGGATAGGTTTATGTGTGTTTTAAATTGTTAGTTCGCATAGTGCGTTATTGGGAGGATTTAAATGTAGTGTACTTGGATAATGATAATCGTGGAAGTTGCTCAATGAAAATAAATGGTGTACGCGTAGGTTTGAATAAGTTTTTGGGTGAGTTTTGAATTGTTTGATTAAACGGTTCGATATAGGGAATATTTAATTCCTTCGCTTGTAACATAATGCGAAAGTCGTAAGGAAATCGAGTAAAATATGAGTGAGACCAGTGAGAGGCATGATTTATACGTAGGACTGACCATAAACATCGCAGAGGTTAATTTTCGTCCATGCCTTTGTGTTTCAGTATCGTGTTATTCTTCGACGAGTTCGGACGTGATTGCTCGACGCGTGTTCAACCTTGCCGTCGACTGTGGCATCCCCCATCGCAACATAAATGGTAAGTCAAGAGCTTAAATATAACGTACTTAGATAATAGTTATTAAGGAAGTTGCGCGATGGAAATAAATAGATGTCGGCGTTGGTTTGGATAGGTTTGTGGGTGTTTTAAATTTTTCGTTCGATGGTTTGCTATTGGGGGGAGTATTTAAATATGGTATACTTGCATAATGGTAATCGTGGAAGTTGCGCAATATAAATAACTAGGTGTAGACGTTAGTTTGGATAGCTTTGCGAGTGCTTTAAATTCTTAAGTTGGATAAAGCATTATTCAGAGTACTTAAATGTAGTATACTTGGATAATGGTAATCGTGGAAGTTACGCAATGGAAATAAATAGGTGTAGACGTAGGTTTGGATAAGTTTTTGGATGAATTTTGGATTGTTCGATATTGAAAATATTTAATTCCTTCGTCTACAATATCACGCAAAACTCGTAGCAAGGAAATCGCGTTAAATACGATGAGTGAGACCGGTGAGAGGCGTGGTTTGTACATATTACTGAACGTAAACATCGCAGATTAGGCTCGCCGTGAATTTGCGTCGATGTTTTTATGACTCGGTTCCGTGTTATTCTTCGACGCGTTCGAACCGAGATTACTCGACGTATGTTCGTCCTTGCCGCAGACTATGGCACGCTCATCGCAATTCAAATGGTAAGATAAGGTATTAAACGAAGTCAAACTTTATCCCGCAATTTTCGATTGGTTCTCGTTGACTTTGGACAAAGAAACATTAACTGTTCTTACCGCGAAAATAGAGAAAATAGAAATTTATTCTGTAAACCGACGAATACAGCTAGAACGTTAAGAACGTCGGTAATTCTGCGAAATATTCGTATTTCGTGTAATTGCTTCCACGTTGAGCCCGTTCGAGGAAAGAACAATGGCGTTTTGTCTACGAGGTCGTCGAACTTTGTCGAACAATGAACAACCGAAAAGAACACAGCGAGACATTGTCACCCCGTGTCGAAAGTCGACGAATTCCTAATCCGTTTGCTATTTATCCCTTTTGCTTCGAGCGCTGCTTACAGGCGGCATCCACGAGATGACCTGTGGGTACCAGCACCCCATATATTCGGCATCCAAATGACGCGTATACAAGTGCAATCTGTATACAATTGTTTTATTCATCACAGTTGATATTTAACCACTTGCGCTACGATTTAACTTTCGGTTGCCATGCCGCGCTCTACAATATAATACGCGGTAAGGCGTTACATTGACGCCGCATCGCGTCTGCGAGCTAATTGTTAGCCGACGTGACGGACACGTCGTTTTTGTTTCTGCGACAAATGCCTATCGACGTGGTATACACGTCGCTGGCGGCTTTGGAACAAAAGCATCTCAACGTGCGTCACACGTCTTTATAGCGTAAGTGGTTGGTTAACCGTTCGAGTCCTAGAGGGTTTTGAGAAAACACTGTCGAGAAATCCCAAACAGCGCGACCGCGCTGCCTCTAAATGGGTATGCGGAGACCCAAGCGGCGCGATAGCGCTTCTTCTATTTTATATCGAGATATCCCAAGCGACGCGATAGCGCTTCTTCTATTTTATATCGAGAAATCCCAAGCAGTGCGATAGCGCTTCTTCTATTTTATATCGACAAATCCCAAGGGGCGCGATAGCGCTTCGTTTATTTTATGTCCATGAATGCCAAGTGGCGCGATAGCGCTTCGACTTCGACAGTAGGTGACGCACCATCAGCTGTCTAGAACGCTCAAAACGTGCTGGGTTTTCGCGACATGAAATCTGAACAGCGCGATAGCGCTGCTTGGGACTCGAACGGTTAAGGCCTAGGAAAACGTACAGAAATACACAGAAACCACATGCACTGTGCATATCTTTGACGCGCGTTTCCGTTCAGTGACGGTACTTCGATGACTGAACTGCCAGAGCGAAAGGGTTAACCCTCGTTGCGTATCACGTGCGAAATACTCGTAGTATTCTTTGAAAGCATTCTCGCAGAGAACGCTAGTAGACTCACCTAATCCCGCGTGTCCGAAGCAGAACAGGCAACCGTCCGTTCCGTTGATGACCGCGTGGATGACGTCCGTCAGGGCACTCGAGCAGATTTCCGTCTGAAAGAAGGCAGGAGAAAAGACATAAGAAACGTGAAAAGAAATAACGTAGGATAATATATTTAAAATGAAAATTAAGAGAAAAAAGAAAAATATTGCTCGTCTTGCGAGCAACGTTTCGACGTCGAAGAAACGTCTTTTTCCATACGCACGAGGCTGTTTGGTATCCAGTCGCTTGTCACGAGTTTGAGCCTCTAGTTAAGTTATTCAACGACAACGACGACGACGACGACGACGACGGCGACGGCGAGCAAGGTACTTTCGAGCACGATGGACGCGATTTTAATTGTTCCTCATCGTCGCCGAGCTGCGTCGCTCGTCCGACAAAGAGGGAAGACGAGACCAGGACTCGGAGGGTAACGACGAAGCTTAACTTAAAGTGCTTAAGAAAGCGTTTGCGGGACGGTTTAATAAACGGGACGGGCGTTACGTTCGCCGAGCGAAGGCGGCGCGAGAGAGGAGGCCGCGAGGATTACGGGAGGAGCGGCTTTGTTTGCTTTTAATATATTCATAGACTGGAAAAGTCTTTCCCGGTGCGGGGAGAGGGCGCGACAACGGGCAGGTTTCGGTTCTCGTTCCTTCGCCTTTCGCCAGGCTGCGTTCGTTTCTCGTTACACGGATTCGTAACCCGCGAGCGGTCGTCGGACGACCTCGCGGCTGAAAAGGAGAGAAAGAACGGCGATGGAAGAGGGTGCGAATGAGTCGGAGGGTGCCTCTAGTTTGGGGGGTTCCGCGAATTTCCTGCGGAAGCAACCGGGAATTTCCTTGGAGCTCGAACTCGATTCGTTCTGACCGATCGATAGAGACATCGACCGGTCCTCTCTTTTACTCTCGCGAAGGTTAGCAAACGTTTCGCGGCCAGAAGGGGTGGGTGCGGAGGGTGGGAGACGCGGAGGGAAGGGGAGCAGGTTGCCGAGAATATCGAGAGGAAGATGAGGACGTGTCGATACCTCGACCAAACAAGATTGAAATCTTCGTGGACGAGAATCGGATGAATCTCGAGGCCCGAGATGGAAAAGGGGAGATGAAAGGTCGGTGGCGAGAGCAGAATTTGAGCGAGCGAAGAAAGGGTGAGAGTAAGAAGGAGAATGGCAGAGATAGTTTCCCAGGAGCGTGGCGGGGACAACGCGAGTAGAGGAGGGCTGTAGGGAAGGTAGGAACGAGCGATTTGGATAGAAGAAACCCTTCAGGCAGCGTTTTTTTTTCTGCCTCTGCTCGAAAGGAAACGGAAATAAGGAGTCCAGTCCCTCTTCCAATATGGTAATTCCAATCTGTCGCTGCTCGTTTCCAAGCACGCCCACCGGTGGATAGAATCGTGCCGGATAGAGGTGGAAAAGCAGCGAGAGGGGGAAGGAAAAAGGATTTCTATCGATAGGCGGGAACGCGATACGCGACTTATCCGCTTTAATCGGGAAAACGATCGGCGCGTTTGGAAAAGGGACGAAAACGCGCGTCAAAATCCCCGACGAGATTAACCGGGGCGGAGGAGGAGGGTGCTGGAAGAGGCGAAGAAGAGGTCCGCGGGACAACAAGGACATTCATAATTATAACGGGATCATCCCGGGGGGATGTAACGCAAAGCAAACATATTTCGCGGCTACCTGCACCCTCGAGAGATCCGCCACTCTCTCTCCCTCTGCGCTCGCCTGCCTAGCGGAACCGACGGCATCACGGTTAATGAAATACGTGACCGAAGCCTCCGTCATAATCTCAAACACTTGATTCCGCGATCCCGCTCGGAATTGAGAGGAACGAAGGGTTGGCTCGTCGTTTTACCGCGCGGGAAACATCCCCTCGGCGGCCGTTGCTCGTACGCTTGATAATGCGTTGAATTTCAATTCTTTTCCGCCGCTGCGCGAGCCCGTTCGATTTTCTTCGTCGCCGTATCGCGTTTCCAACTCGCGTTCGTTAACCCGCATCGTCGAAATAAAACCGCCTTTCGGAAATATCGAATAATCGACATAAGCCGGGAACCACCGTGTACCCAGTTTCGCTTCTTTCTCGTCGCACGCGCGTACCCTCCTCTTCCTCGGGGAATTTCCGTACGACGAGGTTACGACGAACCCAGACGCGTCGTAAAAAAAATTCCCATGAAAATGTCCCGGTCGAGAAACGCGAGACGAGCTCTCACCGTCTATCCCGGAAACGCTCAAGGAAACGAACCGAAATTTGCAGGAAGAACCTTCTCAACTGGTTCGCGACGAGAATTTCCTATCTCTCGAGGCAGCGCACTCCGACCAACCCCCGTGGAACGATTGAAAAAAATCGACCGCGAAGCGGGTGGTGTCTCAATTACGCGTGGTCGGAGAGAGGGTCGAAGCGAGGGACATTAATTTCGGCGAGTGTAAATTAAAAGGGGGTAGGAGGCGTCGCGGTGTGACTTACAAGCGGCGTTGCCCGGTGTCATCGTGGCCTGCGTCGCGTCGATTCCACTTGCAGGACGCGTTCTAGTAACGCAATATTGGCGTCGCCGCGTGGAATAGCAATGACATCGAGAAGGGTCGAAAGGAGAGGCGGACAGGGGGTTGTCGATGCTCGTGGCCCGAGACAAGCTTCTTCGTCGGCGAGGACCAAGTTCCAGCTACGCTCCTCCTTCGCACCCTCCACTTTCTCTCTACCACTGACATTTCTCTCTCTCTCTCTCTCTCTCTCTCTCTCCCCTCCTCTTTCTCCTTCTTCGTCACCCTCCTCGGCGAAATGTAAAACTCGTGTAAGAAAGTTCGGAAAGAAGCTACGGGGAAAAGGAGTGTCGTTCGCGATGGGGTGTCGCCGTGAAGGAACGCGGGGGCCTTTTAATGGCTGGAAATAATCGAATGACCCCCTTTCGCGAATCTCTTAATTCGCAAGTTTCCAGATGCCTCCTCCTACGCCGGACGAAACAGGTGTCGCAGCCGCCTCCATTTTCTTAAACCCGCGGCGCTCTCTGCTCCTCGTTACTCGCACTTCCTTTCCGCTTCGGCTCGCCTCCTTCGACGAGGAATCGGCGCGAGTCCTCGCGGAACGCTCGGCAAGTCAAAACGAACGAAGGTATCCACGAGGAAGGAGAGGAAACGCTGCACCGGCTCGTGCTCGTTGAACTTTGTCAAATCGGTTATTGGAATAGACGTTGATGAAGTTAGTTTGCCCGCCGGAAAATCACGTTGAATTCAAATTATCAGCCTATGATGTGCCTGTCAACTATGCTCGCGGAATAACATCCGCCAGCGCAATTACTATCGGTTAATTGCGTGAACGGCTACGAAAATCGTGTTTGTCGATTGTGCCGTTATACCGTCGAAAACAGCCAATCTGTATAATTACAAAGTCCATAAAGAGGACATGAAAAATACTAGCTATCCTGTCGATAACACGCACTTCGTACCATCGCTAATTGTCGGTCGTAAATTCGTAAAAGGTCGTAAAACGAGCTGCGGGGCAATAATACGCGATACAAAACAGTACCCCAGCGTAGTGTTCTACGATTGACGGTAATAAATCGAACAATAGAGGAAAACATAATTCGGCGATAAAATTTCGCGGGGAAAAAGGCGAGGAATAACGTTAAACCGAACGTTACGAGTTTAGGTCCTGCGAGATTCCACGGAGCGTTCCGCGTGCTCGCAGCGGCGGATGGATAAAATGGAATTAAACTAGAAAATTACGCGCTCAATTACGCGATACCGCGCGAATTACACGCGCGCGACCGGTCGACACTTGGCCGATTTTACGATCTCGTTACGCCGCGGAGACTATTACCTGTGCCATCGGAGGAAAGTAGGCGGTTTACCATTTGCATGTAGACGCAGCTGGCGCGTGGAGCATCGCGGCGTCGCGGCGTCGTTCGATGAAAACCGTATCAAAAACAAACAGGCCTGAGGGGGTGCTTTTCGCTCTTCGCGTCTACGAGCGGCGATGCGTGCGACGCGGACGCGGACGCGCGCGTCCAACGCCCGCGCTCGTTCACGAGCCGATAATTCCGAAAATTGCATCGCCATATGCGTGACATCCGGTTTTTGTTCACCGCACCGTGATTCGTTCGGCGACTTACTCGCTTATAAATAAATTCCGATTCGATCGAACCGTCCGAAAATATTCCACGCGAGCCGACTACTCGTTCGATTCGTCGATACCCTCCATACCCTCGCGGAATATTCCAGTAGCAGGATTCGACGAGAGGTTCCATCGAGCGCGACGAAATCGCGATTTTAAAAACTTTCCGAGAAATATCGAGCATGCACGCGCTCGATGGCGATCCGTCTTTGGCTCGACGCGCTGTTTTCAGCTCGTCGACTCGCGCACCGAGTTCCACGAGACGCGCTAACCCTCGGGATATCGGCTAAAGAAGAGGACTCTTTATCCGCCGCGGTAAGACCGATCACGAGCTTGTCAAAGCGGAAGCACGCGAGGGAGAGAGAGAGAGAGAGAAATAAAGAGATAAAGCGGTAGAAGGGAGAAGAGAGAGGGTGAGGCGAGAGCGACCTCGAAGTCGGTGAAATATGTCGCGATTTACACGGGAGATTGGCGTCATTGGCGCCTAGGGAGCAAACGAGAGGGCACCCCCGCGTTGGCCCGTTGGAAAAGCAACGGGGCCACCCTAGTCGCGAGGCGCGCGGTGACTGGTCGGATCAAAAAAGCATTCGGGAAATCCAACGCTCGGTTTGACCGATGGAAAATCGAAATCGTTAGTAACCCTATCCGCGTTTCGTTTCCAGCTCTCCTCCGAGCTCGGTCGGCCGGCGTGACGCGCTCCTCCTTTTGCCGACGAATTTCCGAACGCTTGAAACAGTGGTTGTTAAAAATAATTAAAAGAGTTTCGTCGGGACGATATGGAAAATCGCGCGTACCGGGTAAACGGGGAAAAGTGCTTTTTCCCGCGACTTCCTAACGATCTCGGGGATGGAAAGTGCACGTGCGAAGCCGCGGGTGAGAAGAGGGGCACACAGGACCACGTTGCCGAGCGGAATGCACGATCTCCCGGCGAGTGACGTCTCGCTTTTAGGACGGCTGACGCGTGTCAGACA